AATTCTTTCTCTTTCCCTTTAAAAATAGAATTATGAGCAAGTACCTAACTGACATAATACATCATCATAGCAAGGATATAGTACTGTAGTTATCTGTGCATGTTATTTCTGAGATCACACTGACATGGTGTAGCACATTATGCGCTCAGGTTGCAGAAGTGAGAGCAAATCTTGTCTAAGAAAAAGAGCTGCTTGACTTGTCTGCTTAGCAGCTGGATTTAGCGGGACAAGTTAAGACCTTTATCTTACTGGCTGGTTAGTTTACAGATCAGGACTGTACTGCTGAAGTAGCTAAATATTAAACATTATTTGACTTGATTTTTAAGTCAAGTCAAACCTTGAGATAGATTGCTTGCAGACAGTGGAATGTAAATGAACATAATCCAAATGAATTCCACTTAGACTGTAAGTTTTGACTTCTTACATGCAGTAGTTTTGCAAGCATTTTTGTACATTCAGACCTTATCTGAGGTCAGGGCTTAATAGTCTCTTACAGCGCCTGCTGCTGAAGCAGACCTAGAAGAATTTTTGTCTCTGTCACTTTACAGGATTGTGTGTCAAGGTATTCAATGTTCACTCTAGATCATCAATACCTGTCTTGTAGCAGATGCTTAACTGAAGAGCTTGAATGTCTGTCGCATCAGGGTTTCTTATCACTTGATTAGCAGTGTATAGAGATGTTTCTCTGTTCTAAAGACAGTGAGTGAAAAAAATACTGCTCATTTCCTGAGTCTCTGCTTGCTTTCACATATGGATGTGAGACATGACTTCCTTTAGAAGTTGCTGTGTTGTTCATTCACTGTATCTGCAGGCTATCAAAATCTTCCTGATTTTAATCCCAGTCAGTTTTGCTATCAGCAATTTGGCAGACAAGCACATCTCAGTTACAGTAGCATGAGAGAGTTGCAAGCCTTCCAGTGACAACTATGAATGTTCTGTGTGCTGTGGCAGAAGTTAAACTACTTCTCCAAGTACCAATGTAACAGCTAGACTGGACATGTGCTGATGCAGATTTAAATTTAATTACTGCAAATCCTGTGAGATAATGGTGGAGGATTGCGTGCTTCTTTGAAGAACACATCAGTGAGAATCAAAACAGTCTCTACAAAAGAAAAACCAACCTACCCAAGTTTTGGTTTTTGTGAACGTGACAGTATTGCAGTGTAACAGTGCAGTGAGGCATTGAGTGGGTTGTGCTCTGTTCCTGGGCCCAGTGGGGCTGCAGGAGAGGCTGGCTGGGTGGCTGTTCCTCCTTCTCCTATCTCCACGTTTTGAATCGGGCATTACCTCTTGCTTTGCTTTCTGTTTCTGTTGTGGGAAGACGCAGGCAGCTGCCTTCTTGGCATTGTGCATTAGGGCAGGAACCTGTTCCAGATGTGTGCAGGTAGGGAGATGTGAGACAGGCTGGGAGGAGGGCTGCTCAGACCCTCTGTATGAGTGCCAGGCCTGGCAGGAAACCTGAGGGCCAGCGCAACTTGGCACGTGTTGCACCAAACTTGCTGAGCTCTCCGGAGATGACTGGGTATTCCAGGCATGTATGCAGGCATGCTGGGGCTGGGTCTGTCTTGAAATGGTAATTGGAGACGTTTCCTCCTCGGGTGTTCCATAGAGACTCGGAGGTGGTTACATCCGGCTGCGGTGCGGGCAGCAGAGGGGCGGTGTGCTGGTGTCAGGTCTCATAGGGAAGTGATGGTAGAGCAGGTACTTCTGTGCTGCTTGGCTTCAGTCACTGAGGAAGGAGGAGCAGGGCAGCTGCTTGAAGCTGGAGAATGCAGTGTGTGCCTGGCAGCACTTGGCTTTCACTGATTTCTAGGTGCAGGCCTGCAGGCACCTTCTGAAGATAATGCTAAGAGCACCAAGGTATCTTCTTTTCTCCATGCAGTATTGGGTAAGAAAGTGAAACCCTAGATTTTGGAAGAGTCATTTATAGCAGCAATATGTTAGATAGTAGAAGGTGGATACAGAACATAGAAAAGCCACCAGCTACTGTCTAATTAGGTACCTGGCTTGGGCTCTGCTATATTTGCATGTTTGATGTGAATGGGTAGCATTTCATTTCTGCTGGCTGCAGCTAGCTTTGTGGTGTCGATGCTGTTAAGTTACTTTAGCATGAAGAGTTTTGTGTATGAAGTGGGAGCCTTTTCTTGACAGTGGTTATTGCAGTTTTCTGTCTGGTCTTATCTACTCTATTTTGGTGCCTGACGTGGATGGTGGCAAACTTGGAATATGCAGGAGACCTATTTGATGGTCAGAGTGGACTGGAATTGGCAGTTACTCCAATATGAAGATAAATCGATGAAGTTTTATTTCTATTTCAAAGATAGTAGTTCAAACATGAAAACTTGTCCTATTTAGTGATGGTAGGAGAGGAGAATTGTTTAGGGCATGAACAGCTTTGTATAGATGTGAGTGGATAAACGTAAAGTCCAGTATTTTGGCATTGGAAAGGCTGGGAACACTTTTAATGTAGTAACTTGTAATCTGGGCAGCACTGAAACGTTAAGCATTCAGTGTTTCTAGACTTGCTCTTAATTTACTCTTCATGCTTCAACAGATCAGTGCAGTCACTGTTTGAATTCCCCATGAGTTAATTCAGAACCTAAACTTTGTTCACACTTGATGATAGCCCATCATACGTGGAGTCAGTGGTGTGTTATTGCTCTGCAATTACTTGAATTATGCAAATAATTTTATTTCTGCTTCCAGAGACATTTGTCTTAGTCTCTAATGTTAATTCACAGCTATATTTGCTGAAGGAAATAAGATGAAAAATGAGTGTTCTTGCTAATATACGGTTTCTATTTTTCACCTGTTGCTGTCTTATGAGGAGAAATATCATCTGGTTTGCTGACTGGACTGGAAATTTTAGATATGACAAGCAACCTGCAAGTTCCCATGCCTCATCTTACCACTTCTTGTGGGAGTTAACTGCACTGGGCAGCAGGGAGCAGCTTTGAGGCAGTAACACATCTAACAGCGACGCATTTGGGGGATTTGATAATGCTTTAGGAAGTACATCAGAAAGGGCTTAAAATAAGCCAAAGGTTCTCTCTGATCATTGCAGAGAAAGTGCCAGCAAGAACTTAGACAACATTGACTGCCATTGAAAAAAATTGTGCTTTGGCTTTATGCTAATACTGCAGTTTTCTATGGCCAGGTCTGCTGAGTGTGGGGACTGCAAGCTGTCTGTGACAGGAATGTGAACAACTGCATCATTTGCACATTATTTCATGGTTATTGACTCTTAAATCCGCTGGTCTCAAATCATTATTTTTAACAGCTTTTTAATGAAGTAGGAGCAAGTTCTATTTGGCTGCTATCAAGCTGAATAATTTTTCTTTTAGCTGCATTCATTTTCTTTGCTGATACAGGCTGTCCGTGGGTTTGGTTTGTTTTTAGAGCAACAACAGCACGCTGCCGTTTTGTTACTGGGAGAAGCTATCAAAAAGTAGAGATACCCAAAGAGCAGTTGTTTGGGCTGTGCAAACAAAGTGGATGGATTTGTTGGCTCCAGGACTGACTGATGTGTAAATATTTGCAAGCAAAGTGGTGGGGTGATGGATTTTGCTAATATCCTTGTAAAGCTTGGGAAACTTTCACAAGTTTCACATGGTTTGTTATATTGAAAACACCCACATTCCCACCTCTGTTTTCATTTGTTGCTTCACTGTTGTTCCTATTGATTTGTCCTGTTGGGTGGACATCATGGACAGCATGCATCATTCAAATTTGTTTTATAAACCGAAGAGAAGTTGTCTGCTTGTTACTGTAAGGTGTGGAATTGTCTTTTGATGATTTGTGACTATCACCACAGCGTGTTCCCTTTTTACTCTCAGCCCTACGTTCAATTTATAGCTTCCTCTTGTTGATGATCTGGGTTTGGGGGGTAGGAGTGGGACTCATTTGCTAGGATTTCCAGGTAGAAACAGCTCAGCTGAGGCTGCAGCTTTTTTCCTTATCTGATTTTCTTCCTAATAAAGATGACAGTGGTGGCCATAAGTCACAGTTATGATGGAATTTGTGTGTCCCACTGTCTTAGTGGTACAAGGCTCAGTACTTAATGTTGGTTAATAAGGCAGAGGCTCTGGAGAAGGCAAGTGCTACAAAGGGTTTCCTTTCAGGTTGAGTCCAAATGCAGTCTGCAGCATGTAGCTGAACGGCTTTGTGCGAAGCACGAGAGAGAAAGCAAGTATAAAAATGCCTTTTGTTGCAAGATGGCAAAGTTGCTTTTGATGTAATTGTTGGAAAAGCAATGCTGAATTTGTAAATTAAAGAAAAAATGCTTCTGTTTATACATAGACTAATTTATCCAGTATTAGCAGGATAAGATTGCATCTGAAAGTTATGACTGCTGTAATGAATTTCTGCTGATGGAAATAGTATGTTAAGAGCTTTGTGTGCTTGCTAAAAATGCCAGCAGTCTTTCCAGACACCTGACCATCTGGGATACTGAAAAAGATGCAGCATTATACCCAGGCTCTTCCAAAAACGATCAGGCTATCTGGATCACGGTGTGGTGTCCTTCTAAAAAGAGCCCTTCCTACATAGCTTTTCAACTCCTCAAGTTTTTGCTCTGCAAGCTATTTTTTGAGAGCACAAATCTGCTGCAGACCATCTGTGCTCATCCAGAGGGGTTTCTGTTGCTTGCAAGTGGAAGGGGAAAAGAGAATGTCACCCTGAGCCTGTTTCTTCTGAGCTGTTGGGTACAGATACGTTTGGCTGTGTGAATGAGTAGGTGGGGATGTGACAATAAGGAAGTGTATTGTGACCTGAGTGAGGGAGTCACCCTGTTTTGTTTAAAACAAAGAGTGAGGGCATATTACTGCTTTCAAATCACACATAGAAAATGAAAGCATGGTTTCTGGAATTTTTTTGTTCTTTTAATGTTTGATTTTTTTTTTTCAGGAGTGATCACTTGGATTCTTTCTGGATTAAAATAACTAAAATCACCTGTGTCTAAATGTTGTCTATATGTTGTCTAATGTGAGTTGTTCTTCTAGATTCTTCAGGAATATGATGGAGGAGTATTCACCAGGAATGCAGAGCACGCTGGAGCCGCTCGGTCTGTCAGAGGAGGCCTCTTACCAGTCATCAAGTAGCAAGAAGTCGGGTGACACAGCTGGAATGAAGGGCTGCTCAAGCATCAGTTGCACTGGAGATGATGCTGGTGTTTTGGGAGCAGAACCGAGGTTGTTGTCCTCAGACCAGGATTCAGCAGCTGCTGACACGAGTGGTGGTGGAGGCCCGACGGAAAGGCAGGAGCAGCAGTGTGCTGCTCTTGACCACAGAGAAGGGCAAGCCTGTAGTGCCAATACCTGCTCTGAAAGAAGGGTGGAAGGCTCCATGGAAACAGGGTCCTTTTCTAGTGAAGAATTTGGACGAGATCCAAAAACTAATCAGACAGAACAATCATTAATAGAACTACTGCAGGAGCTGAGGGAGGAGTCGGACTTTGTGAGAAAATCTAGTGATAAAATCTATTCGGAAAGCCCTTATGACACAGACTGCACAAAGAAGCTTATTTCCACAATACAACAGACTTCTTCACAGGAGGATTTGCTGAAGGAAATAGAATCTGAACTCTTATCTACGGAGTTTTCCAAAGAATGCAAATGCCCAAATGGTGTGAGGAAGGGTGAACATGCCTTGGCTGTGTTTGATAAATGCGTGCAAGATAAATACCTGCAGCAGGAGCAAACTATAAAAAAGTGAGTGTTTCAGTATTCTCATCAGAAATATGGAGGTGTATACCAAACAATTTCAGTTGTGTGAATGTGACATTGTGTGAGAAAACAGCTAGTGTTCTGTGAGTTCAAAGTACAGTTAATGACTTTTAAGAATTTTCTTTGAACAAGGAATTATTTTTACCTGTTGTGTTATGTACTTGTAAGGAAAAATATGTGCTTAGATCAAACTTTTACGCCTGCTTACAGAACTGGAAATGAGTGTAATGTTCTTCAAAAGAGACGTTCTTGTAGCATAGTAGGGGAGGACAGCAAAGGGACTGAAAAACAGGTGCAGAGGCTCCCAAAAAGTAGAGACAGTGTTCTCTGTTACCTTCCCAGTTAACGTCTGGCATAGAATGCGAGCGAGGGAAGTTGATGACAGGAAGGCTTGGATATGTGTGGTTAGGTGGTCATTAACTGTTGGGGAGGAGTGGGAATCTGAACTGTTGGATGTGTAGATGGTTCTAACTCCAGAAGATGGTAAGTGAACAAGTTAGGTTTAATGTATTTGTTTACAGTAAACTCAAAGGCAAGCCAGAATTTTTCACAGCAGTGGATCAACTACTTACAGACAAATTTCTGTGCAGATAGATGTAATTATTGCATACATACAGGTTTTTTTTAATGTAAATCTATCTTCAGTTTCTCTTTCTTTGCCAGCTGTTATCCCTGGAGTAGTGACTTTTAGGGACTCGCTTCAAGGGTGCAGAGCTGCTGTGGAGCACTTAATATATTTGGTTCAGAGGGCATTGTGAGTGGTTTTTGTCCCTTCACTTACGATCAGCAGAACTTCCTTTAACCTTGTTTTGGAAATAGCCCAGCTGTCTTTTATGATCAGAAATAGTACAAAAGTGAGCAATAGTTGTGTGAATCCCAGTCTGCTTTTAGGATCTGTGATCTTGGAGTAGTCATTACTTCTGAACTGCTTTTTAATCAAAGCTTTCTTTCACTGCTGGTGGTTTTGAAGTCTTTGTAATATTAAGGCCTTGTTTGTTCAAAGATATTTCCTGAAAGGGAAGCTAAAAGCTTAAAGATGAAAGTTTGTATCTGAAGGGATATTTCATTATCTTGTTTGGGTAAATGTTCGCCTCTCGCAAATTCACGCAATTAATTTGCTTCAGTCCTTTTGCATATATCCACTATTCACCTGCATCTTCAGACACTTAAATTCATTTCAGACTTCAGCAATTCTGACAGTCCTACTTATGAGTTTTGTGTATGACTGCATTATGTTGCACTGCTAGAAACTCAAGCTAAGCATGTTACTGTTGAGGTGTTAGCTTAAACTCAGGCTTCAAACAGCTGCAAGGAAACAAATTGTAGCTAAAAGAATAAACACTTTAGGAATATGAGCATGGACACCATCACTGTTGTATATGGAACAGGGTTCCATTTCTTACCAGCTTCTGAACTTTGAGGGTCACTGAACAGTTCATGCCAGCTCACAAAGGAATACAGTACCTGTGTTTTCAGACCTTTGACTGGGGGGAGCTGTGTGGTTGGAAGTTGGTGTCTGTGAGTACCTTAAAATATTAACCTTTACACAGCTTGCTGCTGCTTCTGTTAGTTGTGTGGAGGCATCAAATGTCTTGCTTCATTATGGACATTAGCAGCCCCAAAATGCTGGAAGCAAGCAGTTTTCTCACAAGGTGCTGGTTTAAGATTCAGCTTTTAGTCTTTAGTCTTTTCATTTTGTAAGAGTTTGGTGGATTTAGTTAATGTTTCTGGCTGTAGTTGCAGTGCATTTCCAAATCAGGAAGAAAAAACATGCATCTTAAAATTAAGACAAACAAAGGAAGTAGCATATTTTATTTCTTTTTTTTCTTTACAGACTGATGAAAGAAAATAAAAAACATCAGGAACTGATTTTAGAAATCTGCTCAGAGAAGGACAACTTGAAGGACGAATTGAAAAAACGGACAGAAACAGAAAAGCAGCACCTTAACATTATTAAACAGGTACAGATAACAAAAGAGAAGTGGCAGATTGTATCCTATATGGTGCCAGCATTTAATAGGATGTATTGGTAGCACAGGGATGAAGTGGGAATGCCCATGCTCAGGCATCCTGAATGTTTTACGAGGGTGAAGCCATTCTTCCACCCATTGAGTATTTACTGGCTAAAAATGCTTTGCATCTTTAGTTGAATGGTTTGAGTTCAAAATCTCACGTTCCATGTTCAGTATCTGGAAGTCTTTTGGAGTCAAGAGAGTCCCAGTTTAAGTTATGCATACCTTGGCTGTCTGCTAAAGTCAGTGTATGTTTGCTAAAGGCATCTTGTGCATTTTGGCAGAATGGCAAATTCAATCCCTTATCCTAATAAAGTGATTTATTTCTTGCATGTAAACATAAGGGGATCTTATGCAAGTGTTTCATCATGCCTGATTTCTTCATGGTAATCTTAAGTACTGCATCTGCTAATAGAAGTGAGTGAGTGTATTGTCTGTAGTAAATGCTAATAATATGTGGAATATCTATGAAGACTAGAGCATATTAACTATGATCTTACACATCATTTTGGTATTAGCAGTTAATGCATACAGATATTTGGTGAGTGAGTGGTTCAGGACCATGACAGGCCAAAGAAGAACATGGGTTTTGCATTTTTGTGGCTGGCTTTAGTGCAGGAAGTATCAAAAATACTGCAACAGGTGTCACTGCTTTCTTATAACAAAATTTATGAAGGAGTTAAACTTCTGTTTGGAGTCAAATAAGTGAGATGTGTGACACTGCTCGCTTAGAGGTGATGTCACAAAATAATGGTTTGGAGTGTGATACTTTTATATCGTATCTGAGTAGTGACTGGAGCTGTGTGATACATTGGAGTAAGATTCACTTGAGGTTTTTCTTATTTATGAATTGTGTTTTTAATGTGATAATTCCTGACTTAAGTCTTTCCTGGTAGCTTTCAAGTAAACGAAAGATTGTCCATACTCACAACTGCAAGTAAAATGTGTACACTTGTAGATGTGAAAAGTTTTCTTGTGCTACAGAATGATCCACTTGCAAAATTGTAGAGCGTGTGATCACATTTGTTGTGTGGTAACAAATATTGTAGTTTGTTCTTGTCTTTTGTCATAGCTTGGAATTGCACAAAAATGCAGTACTAGCCCTGACAGCTCTACTTTTTTACACCCTTTCCCCTCACAATAAAATAAAAAAGGCAGACTTCGGTGAGTGGTCCTCCCTGGAACAAGAGAGTAATCATTAAGGAACAATTGGAGCAACCTTTGGACAGCATTGCAGTTTATGTAGCACTTACCCTTGTGCCAGTGCTGCACTGCTTCCTGTTGTACTGCACTTGTGTGGCTGTGCAGTGGATGTGCTTTGGGAAGTGTTCCAGTTGGCTGTCAGTAATTGCTCTGCAGCTGGATCAGGACTCTGATCTAGTTTGCTGGGTGGCTAAAAATACGTGCCAGCACAATGACTGAGTGCCACCTTTGTATTTGCTGAGTTATTTTTCAGTGAATTAATTGCTGGTTCAGTTTGGATGCGTGACGTCTCTGCTGGCACAGAGTTATGGCACAGGGATATCAACCAAAGAATGGAAGACAAAGTAACTCTACAGCAGCCATCTCTGCTGCATCTGCTGTCAATCTTATTTTTTTTCTGTAGTTCACTTTGCCTCTCGTTTTACTTTGTTTGGTGCTGTTGTCTCACATAAGATGAAAATATACAACGTTCATGCTTGTACTTCAATACAAAGCTAGATGCTAGTATGGTAACTTGCAGCTTAAAGCACTGCTGAAGATCTGTTGTAGCATATAATTTTCTGTGACTGGTCCTGCCTGTACAAAACATGATCAAAGTCTTGTTTTCCCTATAATTGTATCATACTATTGTCTTTTAGCTAGAAGCAAGAATAGAAGAGCTTAATAAAGAAGTGAAAGCTAATAAAGACAAACTTGTAGCTCAAGATGCAGCAGCCAAAAATGCTATTCAGCAGTTGCATAAAGAGATGGCCTTTCGAATGGAGCAGGTAATAACTTTTAATTACTGAACATCTCATGGGTGACCTTGATCTTTGTAAGAAACCTGCAGCCTTGATTGTTAAATCAAGTAGTTAAGTAAAAAAAAAAAATCAAAATAGGCACTACTACCATGCAGTTACATATATATATATGTACACATATTACATATATACATATATATATACATATATACATTTTCTTTATATTTCTTTCTCTATATTTTCTATATATTATATTATATACATATACATTTCTAAATAGCTGTTAATGTTATGGAGTGACTGATGCTTTCTTACAAATGCACACAGCTAGGTGTATGCAGTTCAGCCCTGCAGGACATCTCATTTTCCTTGCCCAAAAGCTGATCTCAGTTCAAGAGATGGTAAAAGCTCCTAGTGGCTCTTTTTTATCACATAAGTTATCATGAAGTGTTTTTCAGCTTTGTGGTGAAAAGCTCTTATTTTTTGTCTCATGACTTACTGAGAGCTTGGAATTTTTCCCTTCTTAATATTATGCCATGTATTTATTGTATGTTCTAAAGCTCAGTTCCTGATTTTTTTTTCTTTAATACGAAGCAGAATTTATTAATACTGGGGCAGAAGTGAATCCATCTGAAAAAAAAAAGCCACTGAATTCTTGACATCTGGCAAGAAGACAGGACTGAAACTGTGTTTTTACAGAAGTATTGTTTTTATTACTAAAGCTTGTCAGATACACTACTTCTGAAACAACCAACTGAATTCAAAATTACTAAAATAGTGGTACTTTGCTTGAGGTGTTCAGCTATAAAGCTGCAGCTGCTTAGGTAGGTATTGACTGTTAGGAGTAATTCCAGTTGAATTGGTTGAACTCTTGTCATGCTTAAGTGGGGATCTAATGTTAATCTTTGCAAAATTGGAGCTATTGAGCTACTTTGTTATGCTCGTCTATTGGATATTTTAGGTATTGCAGTAGTGTCTTACAAAAGGAAAATAAAATGAATCAACCTTGTTTCATATTTAAATATTTTTCAAGGCAAATAAGAAATGTGAAGAAGCACGCCATGAGAAGGAAACAATGGTGATGAAATACGTCCGAGGGGAAAAGGAGTCACTTGACCTCCGAAAGGAAAAGGAGATACTTGAGAGAAGAGTGAGAGATGCAAACAAAGAAATTGAAAAGCACACTAATAAGATTAAGCAGCTTTCTCAGGAAAAAGGAAGATTGCACCAGCTCTTTGAAACTAAGGTGCTCCAAGTGTTGCTGTGTGACTTGAGTGAATGATTAAAAGTACTATCAAACAACCTTATCAACACTAGTTTGCTATTATGCCTGGTAAAACAAGCCTGTTTTCATTTGATTTTACTGTGAAAACCACTTTCTGCTGTAGGAAAGGGAACAGTAACTGATTTCTTACTGTCATCTTTTTGCTCGTTTGTATCTTTTTAAAGGCTGTAATGATATTAAATTATTGCAGTCTCTATTGAAGTTTTTCTGTCTGGACTTTGTATTTTTTACACTACTAAAAATTGGAGATACAGCAGTTGGATTTCTCAGTCCTGATTCCAGAATATTGACATTCCTTTTTTAGAAGCCAGTATGATTCCCATCAGCCTCCTGAATTATCCAGATCTTTCTGTATTGGGTTTCACAACTCTGTTGCATGTGGAAGTCCCTCACATTGATAAATCAGTAGAGTTCATGCTGATTTTGGGTCCTTTTTGAGCAGTTTTACTAAGCACAATTGTTGAGCAAAGAAGGATCTGAAGAATGCAGTGTAATAAAAGCCATAAAAATACATTTGTGAAGCAAAAATTCATTTATCCTTTCTCACAAGTAGGAAATGAGGGCATGGCTTCAGGTTGTGAAACAATAAGTATGTTGATAATCCCTCGTAATTACTCTGCAGCCTTACAGGAATTGTGCTGCCCTCACATGGTGCTTCTGTAAACCTTTTTTTGGTAGGTGAACCTGTCACTTCAGAAACAGCTTGAAAGTTTGGCTTAATGGCAGATCTATGGATAAGTCTGTAATAGTGTGGGCAGTGATGTGCTTCTGTAAGGTCTTACTTGACACTGACTTATGTGATGATGGTTTGACCTGCGTTCACATAACAGTGCTCACGCTGCTCTGCACCCTGATGGTTGTAATGTCATTCATTTTCTATCTGTGGCCTTGTGTAATACACAGCTTTGTGCCTGTTTCCTCATCCTGTTGCCGAAAAAGCAACAAAAAGCCATCTTAAGGAGATATTTATTTTGTGCTTTGTCTTTAAACAGAATTGTGGCATTAGTGTGTATTAACAGCAGTGCAGTGTTACCTTACTACTCAGACTAGAACACTGATGTGTTAGGGTTTTTTTTGTGCACTAAGGTATCATGAGCATATTGAATTCTGTGCACAGCTTTACAAAGTCCAGACATTGTTAACTGTGCAGTTTACCTTCAGTAGGAGTCTTGTTGTAGAAGCACTGGATGATTGAAATCCGTAAAATAAAGTTGATGAATTTTTTTTTAGGATGCTGAAGTCACTCGACTCAACAAAGACATTGAAAAATTGAAAGAGGAAATCAATTCTCACGTTATCAAAGTAAAATGGGCTCAGAACAAATTAAAAACAGAAATGGATTCTCATAAGGTTGGTGAAGTACTATCGTGACATGAAACTGCAGTCAGAGCAGTGTAGTTGCTGTATGGTTTACTCTTTAGTACTAAAATCTGCTTTAGAATATTTTCTATTTGAACACCTACAACAAGTTGCAGTAGTGCTCTTGAATTTATTGATATTGAAGATGAAATGTTGGAAGGGTGTGAGGGGTCTGTGCTGGGGGAATCGCTTCAATCTGATCATTCTTTTCAAAAGATCATTTTTTAATTTTGACTTTGTATGATAGGTTTAACTCTTTTTGCTTTATTAGTTATGTGATAGATTTAATGTGTTTGTCATCAGAAAATGCATGCAGGCCATTTTTGTGTGCTTTCAGTGCTGGAACAGGCAAAATTAAAGCAATACCTGAGTAAAAGCAAAGGGGGTGTGTGTGTGTTGGTGAGCCGGGGGGAGCTGGACTTCCTGTTTTGATTCATTTCAAACTGAAGTAGATAACTTTTATTATGAGAAATGCTTTTTCTAAATTAAGGCAGATAAATAAGCTTAACCTTTTTCATTCCTGTTTCCATAGGAATCCAAAGAGCGCCTCAAAGATGCAACAACAAAGTTGACTCAAGCAAAAGAAGAAGCAGATCAGATAAGGAAAAATTGTCAAGAAATGATAAAAACTTATCAAGTAGGTATCTTTCCTTAGGAGGTGAAATTACTGTTTAGGATCTGGGTTTTTTTTTCTTCCATCTCTGCCTTAAGTTGTAGCAAGAAAGAACCATTCCATGGGAGCTGCAATGCTGAGGTGACCAATCACTGATTGATTTATCAACTTTCCAAGTAAAGCAAAGGGAAAAAGTTTGTCATGCTTGGCATCCAGTCTGCGTGAAGGCCTTCCTTCACATGTTCAGAACTGTTAGATACCTACAGAAGCATGTTCAGTGATGTGAAAAGCTGTCTCTGCTTGTGTAGCAGGAAAGGGGAATGTAAAGCCATAAAACTGTCCTTGTATCTTCTATCCTTTTAGGAATCAGAAGAAATTAGATCGAATGAATTGGATGCAAAATTCAAAGTAACTAAAGGAGAACTAGAGAAACAAGTGCAGGAGAAATCTGACCACTTGGAGGTAAATATGTGATTTGTGGAGAGAAATGTGGACATAGCACAATTGCTAACTTGGTAGTTAAGAAAGCTGTGAGTTTCTAAGATTCTTTCATCTAAGGGATGCCAGGCATCCCCTTCTTGGCCTAGTACTCTATTCCAGGTGTCTGTTTCCAGCCCCCATTTCTGGAGAATGTTTTTTAGTTGTTGCCCCAGATGAACTTTCTAAAGACAAAGCTATAGAAAAAGTATGGTACAATGAGAACAAAATAAGTGTTCTTTTGTTTATAAACATGAATTTTGCTATAATTTGGAGCACAAATTCGCAGGCAGGATTGTCTTTCTCTGAGTATTTTGCTAAGAGTAGCTGCTTTTCTCTGTGGCAGCTTGCTGTTCCAGAAGCTAAATTCTCTAATGATTTAGTACCTGATCACAGGTGCATATGTCACATTCAGTTAAACAACTGTCTCTTTGCTGTCAACATTTGCCAGGAGTTGTTGAGCTGTTAATCTTGTACAGCTGAAACCAAAATGTGGAATCCTATTTTTGTTCTCAGTTCTTCTTGAGAATCAGGAAACCTTTAGAGTACTTGTTCTTTATTAAACCCTCTGAGCTGTTGAGTTGACCTGCATTGAGCTAGATTTTCTTTGACATCCCAGGAAATGTCATTGTCAGTTTCGATTTCTTAGGCAACATCTCACTCTTTTTTTTTTTTTTTTTTTTAAAAGGTGCCTCATGCAAAAATAAAGGAACTGGAAGACTTGAAGAGAACGTTTAAAGAAGGCATGGATGAGCTTCGAACTCTGAGAACAAAGGTAACGTGTGGGATCATAGAGGAGCAAGAGGCAAAATGCTGACTTTTGAAACAAGAGTGTGTTCGATTTGTTAGTTGTAGTTCTAGTTCTTTGAATAGATGTGATTACGTACTGACTAGTATGAAACCAGAAGTACATAACTGTGGCTGTGTGGCCTTTATTGGTGGCTGCTGGCCCACAGTAAGTTTTGTTTCATGGTATGCACCTCATTAGACTGAGAAGGTACAAGAAACATTTAATTGAGATCTCCTGAAGTTGGTCTGTGAGTTGTCTTGCTGGTCCCTCAAACTAGAGATCAGAGGGGCCTTAGAAAAAGGGGTTTGGATTTGTAATTGGGAAATTCTGTCTTTGAATGCACTAGTCTTGTAAGAGCTTCTGAACAAGACTAATGTTAGTCTCACTTGTTTAATTTGATGTTTTTTGCATCAGATTTTGTGTATTTTTCTATCTGTATTTTGTATTTAAAAAAAAAAAAGGTATTGTTGTTCTGATCTGCCTGGAATCATGAAAAGTAATGTGGGGTTTTTGTACAAAAATCCAGACATCTGATCAAAATAATTCAGCTTCAAAGCTTGGGAAAATTTTGTTTTTTTCTGTTTAGGTAAAGTGTCTAGAGGATGAGCGTTTAAGAACAGAAGATGAATTATCCAAGTATAAAGAAATCATTAACAGACAGAAAACTGAAATTCAGAGTTTACTGGACAGAGTTAAAACTGTAGATCGTCTGCAGGATCAACATCACAGGTACACATATGAACTTCTAGGAATGATGGGACTGATTTTTTGGGAAATGGGAAGTTACTTGTTGAAATGACGATGCGTTTTGAAGCATTTATGATGTGGAATATCATCTTAAATGTTTGTTTAATGTAATCAGTACTGCTAGTAATAGAACATCTGTAGTCTCTTCAGAAGACAGGTGAGTTTAGACTCATCCAGTGGAAGCTTTTGTTCAGTATACTGTCTAGGAAGTTCTGTCATGTAGGAGCCTGCTTAGTGCTTGCTTTTTTGGATGACTGGGGAAAGTAAGAACTAAACTGGGAAGATCCATTGCTTCAAAAATGTGATGGGTGAATTAAAGTATTTAACAGCTTCATGCCTGGCAGATACTTTGCAGACAGTAAGGAGCATTTGTGTTTATGGTGGGTTAGTATTAGTTGTGCTGTGTAGAAGTTTGCTGACTTAAAAGTATAAGGAACAAAGAGTTCATGGACAGTTGGGGAGTTTCTGTGTGCATGTGTGTTTCTGTATGAGTCGTGTTAACTAGAATGCGGAAATGCTTTCTGCTTCATTGATTCTCAGTAAGTAAAATAGCTGTTGGATAAACAGAACCACTCACGTGTCCCTCCAGTACTTCTAAGGAGTTCTTACTTGTCATTGAAAAGTCCTTCAGCAATATATGTTCTCCTCAGGTTTAGAGAATGAAGCGTTTTCCATTTGCTCTGCGCTGGTCAGCTGTCCTAGCACTTTCATCAGCCTTCTTTTCTAAGGTAGAATGCATTCCATTAGAGACAACTGAACCTTACACTTCAATCAGAAGTGCAGAAAGAATCAAAATAAACTTGGTGACCAGTGAGAAAACTGCAAATGTTTTTTTCCAGTTATCTTTTCTCAGTAATTCAGATGTCCTTGTAAATGACTCTATTTCTCTATTAAGTTAGGATATTTAAAAGCAAACTTTTGATCCAATGTCTGCAGTGCTCACTGCTGCTATATAATTTTTATCCAGTCTTTTATTTCTCTCTTAAAATGAGCTAAACATGTTATTCTCTAGAATGTTTAATAAAGTTGTGGAATCTCAACAAGAGATTGAAAACTTCAGTCAGTAAATGCCTGTTATTTCTGAAACGGAAATCCTGTAATCTGGAACTTAGTTTTTCTTACTGTTGCTTAGAATAAATAAACCACCTGTCATCGTCTTGGAAGAAGCTTTGTCTTAATTCATGTAAACTCTCATCTCTTTTTTTCTAATGAGAAAAGGATTGTCAGAGCAGGTTTCCTTCTTTTAGAGAAAACTGAAAGGAGACTTGTGTAAAAAGATACCATAAAGTGGATGTTCAGCTATTTTTTGTGCATTGGAGGAAGTTTTAAAATATTAGGAGTTTTGCAGGAAAGATTATTTTAGGGGTCCCTTAGACCATCCTGAGATATGTAAACATTTAATTTTCTATTTCAACCCTGACTGTTAGGTGTAGAAATGCCTCTCATCATAATGAAAGAATGTATTTTGAAAAGCAAAACATGAGCATATTGGATTTGCAGGCCTTTCTCTTACCTGCAATATGCTTCTGAGAATTTTGTTTAGACATCCTGTACAGGGCACAGTGAACAGAGAGGTTGCCTTCCTTGAGGATGCCATTGGCTACAGCCTTAACATGAGATACAGTTTTCTTTGTTATTTCATCATTGCATCACATCATGAAATGTGGAATCTGTGAACTCTTTTGGTATTTAAAAGCACCCAGTGATATGCCAGGGTCATTCATTGTTTTTTTCCCTTATTTGGTCTCAAATGCTTTTATTTCAGTAAGGTTTCATATCTGATGACTTCAAGCTTAGTTTTCCCTAATAAAATGCAATTGTTTTGACAGAGATGAACAAGATATCAGTGCTTTAAAGGAAGAAGTAGATGGTCTCAATTCTCTTATTGCTGATCTCCAGAAGGACATTGAAGGTAGTCGGAAAAGAGAATCTGAGCTATTGATATTCACTGAAAAATTAACCAGTAAGAATGCACAGCTTCAGTCTGAAAACAATTCCTTGCAGAGCCAATTGGATAAGCTTTCTTACAGCGAAAGAGAGCTGCAGAATCAGCTGGAATGTGTTCAGCAGGCTAAAGATGATTTGGTGAGTATAGCATGCAGCTTGTTTTCTGCCCTACTGAGATGTCTGGAGAACATGAATTCCAGCTTTCCTTTCCCAAACTCAAGTTCTTGAGTTTGCCAATCTGGAGAGGAAAGAAATGCCGAAGTACACTGGGCTTAAATGAGGTGAGGGTGTTTCTGTGTTGCTCAATTTGTCTTGGAGGGCAGAGTTCTCTGTGCAGCTGTCATTGGAACAATCAAAAGCTTGTAATTCATGTTTGAAATTTATTACTGCAAACTGTTTTTTAGGTCATCTTTGAAAAATGTAAGGTGAACATCATTTATAATGAACATTTTCAAAAAGAAATCAATGTAATGTAATGTACAGCTCTACATAGCTCTCTGCTGCATTGTATACATGTTTGAGAGTTCAGGATTCTCTTACTGCAGCATTGCACTGTGGTGTATTCATTTGCAGAGCTAGTGTTTAGTAAATTTTAAATGCAAGAGATTATCAGGTAAAAAGTGCTTTTTTTTTTTTTTTTTGCTTATGACCTATAATTTCAGACCACCAAGTTGCAGAAGGAGGAGGATCAACGAAAGCTAGAAGTTGAGATGCTACAGGCTCAGCTAGCTTCAGAGCAGAAAGAACTCACAGCACTGAAGACCCATGTGGATGAACTGAAAGATGAATTGACTACACAGAAGCGCAAGCATGCAGCAAATCTGAAAGATCTCACAAAACAGCTTCAGCTAGGTTAAAATTATTTTCAGATACAATGAGCCAGCCTAGTCTGTAAGCCCCTTTGCAGGGTCTCGTGGAGATTAGAGTCATGTCAGTATTTGTATTGAGTGCACTCCTTTAAGATCTTGTCTCTAAAGAGGATGAGAGTGAGCGAGCAAGTTAGATTTGGGGGAAAGTGCAGTTGGAGTGAACAGCACTTAGTGTCAGTTGTCAGTCTTATTAGACTAATATCTAATAACTTTGGCTTATTCATAATGGGCTTATTCATAAAATGAAAATTTTATCTCAAGAGAGTTTGCTCTTTGTTACCCTTTGTGTCACTAGCTGAATGTCACTGTGGGGTGCATAAGGATCCTCATAGTTGGATGAGCATATTCAGAAATTGCTAGAAGTCTTCTCCTGGCTGTATCAGGAATTACTGCTGAGGGGTAATGTGTAGTGTATTAAACAGAGCACTTCAGTTGATAAAGATGGATGTAGAAAGCCCAGTTGTTTTTTTTTTTTCCAATAAACGGAAATAATTACTTGATAGTTGGTAAGCTCTGAATGCAGATAGCTTTGAATACATTCAAATCTGTTTGAAAGGGGAAAACCTCCTACTGGCGTTTTGCAAGAGAAGTTATTTGTCTCTTTTTTTGTATGAATATGAACAGCTGTGCACTTTCCCTTTTCATCCCTATTGAATGAGTGGTGCTTCTGGCACAAGTAGTACTTTCAGCTCCCAGTAGTGATAGTCATGAGATCCTAAAACAGAGCTGCCATTCTGTCATTCAGCAATTATAAAAGAGGTAAAATCAAATCTAAGTCATCTTGATCTTAATTAATTTTCTGTGACATTCCCCTGTGTCTACAAACTGCTGTGGTGTATTAGGGGTCTTAGTGGATGTTGCAGTCAGGTACTTCATGCCTAGGGGAAGGGAGAGAAGGAGGGCAGTTGTTTTGCAGCTGGTAGTTCTCCCATGCCCCCACGTAGCTTTTAGTTGCAGCCTTTAAGTGGTCAAGCCAAGTGAAATTATTGCAGGTTACAAAGGATTAGAGTGTTTGTTGTATCATACTGTGGTTCTTGATTTTTAATCTCCTGTTGGTAATCATAATTTCATTATACTTTTAGCACGGAGGAAATTGGATCAGATTGAAAATGGTAATTATGACAAAGAAGTCAGCAGCATGGGGAGCCGTTCCAGTTCATCAGGTAATATGACAAATAACAGGGCTGCCACAGCAATCCTTTCATCTTAATAAGGTTGCCATGGTGTGCTGCCATGAGCTTTTGTTCTTTCTGTGGTTTGTGCATATCTGATGTGTGGGCAATCTCCCACTAGAGCTGACAAAATAGCCTTCAAACACCAAAATGCACGTGGCTGAATGCAGTTAAGGGTTCTTATTTCATGAAGCTTGATGTTTTTATGTTTTGGATCTTCTTAAGCACCTGACTTTGCTTTTATGTTTGGAGGAAGCTCAGAGCTCTCCAGTTTGTAGAGGACCCTATTAAGTGCAGCCAGGGACAAAACAAAAATTTCCAGCAGCTTTCAGCAGTGTTTAACTGCCCTGTGGACAGTTGTAACTGTGTAAATGATAAAATCAGTTAGCATGTTTAGAAGCATCAGCGTATTTGTGTGAAATTCATGACTTTCTATCCAGTTACCAGTAAAAGTTATCTTTAGTGCTGAAAACAACATCTGTTTTCTTCCTCAATAGATTAGGTTTTATGTTGAGTTAGGTCTGCCAAATTATTGGGTGATCTTGCTGTATAAGAGAGAGATACTTAGAGAGTTGAACAGAAAGCAAAAAATATTTCAGTCTCTAAGTGATCAGTGCTGCAGACTATTTGTAATGTAGGTGTCTGGTCATTCTGTAGACAGTTCTCATGGTTGTAAGCTTCGTGGACTCTAGAGGAAATCTGTTTAACATCAGTTCAATCTTGTGTAAAGCAGTATTAATGAATATGAAGGTACTTCTACAAAAGTATTACCAAAATAAACTCAGTTACACTGATGTGACTGTGCCTATATTAGGGGACTACGCTGCTGTTTCAGCTTGCATTTAAATGGTATAAATACTACACTGCTCACATGTAAGGGAAACCAGCATTCTGAAGAAAACAGGCTATTGAAATGTAACGAATGCATTGCACTGGTGAAGTTCTGTTTTACCTAGGTTAGAAATAAAAAGAGCTTCTAAAATTGGGATGTGTTGGCAGGGTCCCTTAATGCACGCAGCGGCAATGAGGATCGGTCTCCAGAGAATACTGGATCTTCAGTGGCTGTGGATAGCTTCCCAGAGGTGGACAAGTCTGTCCTGGTCGAAAGAATTCTGAGGCTACAGAAAGCACATGCTCGAAAAAATGAGAAGATGGAGTTTATGGAGGATCACATTAAACACCTAGTGGAGGAAATCAGGAAAAAAACCAAGTATGTTCTGAGTTTGGTTCATAAAATTTTCAGTATTGAGTATGCATAAACTGTTGTGTATATGAGACTCTTTTTTTCTTTAAGAGTTCTTAGTGTAGTTTTGGTATTGTCAGCTTTTGTTGAAATGATGTGGGAAGTCATGAGTTGAACGAACAGTGATGCTTCAATGGCTGTTCCAACAAATGAGTCTAACTGTGGGTGCTGGCTGAAAAATGAAAAGAAGAAAAGGTTGCACCCCAGGCTGTCTTGTACTTTGTTCTCTTATGGATTAATGTCATGTAGGTCTCTGTAGCAACTGAGAACTGACAGTAGTGCTGCAAATCGTTCTCCAGAAACTTGAGTCAGGCAGAAATAAAGTATGTGGTTGGAGTTGTTGCTAGGAAAGTTGGTTTAAACAACTCTTTCATGTATGAAATCTCTGAGCAATTTTGTGTACAGGTCATTAATGTTCTACTGTCCTTCCTCTAGCTCTCAAGGCTTACTTATTTGAGTTTCAGCATGTGTTGCTACACTAATGTAATATATCTTTCCTGTGAGCTGAGGGAGATGGTTTCTGTGGGATCATGAAATCATCATAAATTGAAGACTGTTGTCATGTTTCATGAGACAAGTTCAGTTGCTCATCTTTCAGGATAAGTGGTGTTTTCTAACAGGTCATTCTATCTTTCAGCAAAGAAAAGTAGATGGGGCGTCTTTTAGTTCTTTTATTTTGGCTGCACTAGCAATATTATTTTCTCAAAGTACTTCTAAGTACGTATAACTTGCACACTGTAGTGACATGACTATCCAGTGTTGCCTGTCTCACCTGTATACCACAGGTGATAGATTTTCTGCTGCCATAGGAGTTGCAGGACTTGATTGCCTTTTCAGTAATACAGTTGTGATTGAAAATTATTGTATGTCACGATTCTGAAGTTAGTTTGGTGTCTGCCTTTTCTCTGCCTTCTAATGCCATGATGTCTTTGTTATTTTTTGCTCAGAATTATTCAGAGTTACATTTTGCGGGAAGAAGCTGGCGCACTGTCCTCAGAGGCATCTGACTTCAACAAAGTACACTTGAGTAGGCGGGGAGGAATTATGGCATCTCTGTATACATCTCATCCTGCAGATAGTGGTCTCACGTTAGAACTTTCCTTAGAGATAAACAGAAAGCTGCAAGCTGTGTTAGAAGATACATTACTGAAGAATATTACACTAAAAGTGAGTATCTGCCTCTTTTGTTTTGAGAGTTCTTGTGGTTCTGAAGTAATCTCTTTGAAGAGATGCGTGCTATTGAAGGAGGAGGCTTTTTGGATGTCAGATCGGTGTGAATTGTGACACTGATAGCACTGGGTTAATCTAAGAGTGCTGTAACTTGAGGTACTGCTGCCTCCCTGTGACTCCTGTCATACGCTGCACTGGTGGGCTGGTTCTCAGCAGTAAATGTTGGCTGCGTGTGCGTTCTGTGGAGAAGGGGTTTTGCATGTTCTCCCCAGCTGTGCAGAGCTTGTGGCGTGGGCTCCACCTGCCAGGCTGTGTGCCAGGCACTGCTGAGCTGGGGCAGCACTTCTGCTGTGAAGGGATGGGAGGCTGAAAAGAGTTGTGTAGGCTGCCAGGTGAACTGCAGTGTTCTGTAGGAGCTGGAGATCTCTTTCAGTAATTGTCATTCTTGAACACTGTACATTTTAGAGGCAGCCTGTAGAATCTTAGTAACCATAATGAAGGCTTGCTCAGAGGTTTGCATCTTTAATTGAAATGTGTTTGGTTTTCTCTACCTTTCTAATCATTTGCATTTGTTCTGAGTACTTGTAAGTGTCAATCTGCTGACATAATTATTTTAACTTGTTAGTGTATGTGCTGATATTACTGGTTTTCTCTGTGAGTTAACCTACTCTTTTTTTTCCCCTAAGGAAAACCTTCAAACCCTAGGAACAGAAATAGAACGGCTTATTAAACACAAGCATGAACTGGAACAGAAAATCAAACAGACATAACTAAAGCTTCTGTGGAATAACTGGCGTGAAGATGCAGAAAAGGCAGGTGCTACAGACCACTATTTTTTAACGTTTTTCCTGAAATTTGATTGCCTGCCAGCACAAGCAGTATTTTGTGTACGCAGCCTTTAGTCATGCAGGCTGTCCTTACTTTGAGAGATCTGCAAGCATCTGTGTAGTTCTGTCTACTCAGTACCAGCCTGAGGTGTTGCTGAGTTTTACTGACACTATGTTGATCTAAAACTTCCATTTGGAATGACATACAGATGCTTCGCAGTGCATACTGTGTTTTGAGTGAGTTGCAGTGAGACTTTCATTTCTGCTGTGTAATTAATCAGTCTCTTAATGATGGAGCTTGAAAAATAAACCAATTATGTTTTAAATGCTGTCGAACATATCCAATGTTACTGAGCTTTAAGGGCTTTCAGACGTTATTTCTTGCATATTAATTCTGATGTTTAGGTTGATGAAGAGCTTTTGACAAATGCATGGAAAAATGCTTTGTCACAAATTGTTTTTTTGAGTGATGATCATGATATTGTTTATTTTCTGTATTGGATTAACATTCAGCTAATAGATTCCTTTATTGAAAGGAAGTGAAACAACAGTAAAATTAAGGGTTCGAAAGACTTCTTGATGCAGTTGTTGAGTGTGTGTAACATAAACATCAATTCAATAAATCCTGTAACACCTGATCTTTAGATATATAGATCTAAAGAAGTCTGATCTCAGATGATTGTCAAAAGTTCTCCAGCATTCTGTGTATTTAACAGCATTTTAAAAGAGTTCAGCTGCCCACTGTTACATTGTGATTGCGTCTGTTTTCAGACCAAGGAAAAAAAGCATTTTTTTCAAATAGAAGCTTACTGAGTTTTCTCATTACATATGGATAGATCTGCCAGTGAAAGTGATGGTAAGAAGTGGAACCTGGAACTTGTGGGATTTTTGTCTGTTGATTGAACTGTAAAAATGGCATAGAAATGATGTGACTCCTTAATTTTACTGTTGTGAAGAATTAGGTGGTCAGTGTGGCATGAACTGAGAATGGTTTAATTGTTGGTGTTTGAGATGGTGATAGTAGAAGAGGAACAAGGTGACAAGGTTCTAGTTTCACAACAACATATTCACATTTTAATTCTAGGGTAAGTAATCTACAGAATCTGAAGTGTCTATTCCAGCAGTAGATGCACTATTGGTGCACTTACTGCCTTTTGACCAAAACATATTGACCAGTTCACACTGTAAATACATATTTTGTTTTTTTTTCTTAATTACTTGAACTTCCTATTATGGAAAAAAGGTTGTGTACACTTACATGCTACAGCATTCAAATGCTCTAGCTATTTGAATTAGGGCACTTTGGAGGGGGGGGGAATCTGTCTTACTCCATGTACAGTTTACATCATATACAAAACAAGGGCTTGAATCCTGCAGCATACAGGGAGGGGAGCTTATGAAAGCATCTCATGTGCTACTGAGTCACTTGAGTGTTGTTCTAATGAGCCATATTGAGCAGAAGGGTCATGTTTAGTGTGAGTAGATGGTACAGGATAGTGAGGCTTCCTGTTCATTTCAAAGATAGGCATTTCTGAAAGTGCTTGCAGGTTCAAGACCCACTTTGAGGTCCAGAGAGCTTCAAGGGTCTTTGGATAGCTGTCCTTTCACTGTCAGCGGATTTCATTTAGAAATGAGGGAGTGGAAACCAATGATTCAGATTCTCATGAGCTTTGGAAAAACTGTGACCCGTTAATCTGGGTGGGTTTTTATGCATACATATATATTTTTTTAAACTCCTGAGAGCAATGGTTGTGCAAAATGCAAGGGAATTTCTACCAGCACAGTCATGGGACTACCTCTGCTTTACCGTTGCTTAAGTGATGTGGAGAGGAAAATTCCTGGCTCTGCTGGAAGAGGCTTGTCACCAACTTCTGGGAAGCTGACATCTAATCCTGAGCAAACAGGCAGTTGGTCTCAGCTGAAATAGACCTTCTGCTGAAGCAAAGGATCTTGAAAGATCAACCTGCATGTCAAGACATAGCTTAGCTCTCATATATTTGCATTTTTGTGCTCTAATGTACCAGATCTCTGGATATTTTCAGGTGTTCAGCTGAATGACTCCAGTATTTTAGATACCGTGTTAATACTGTAATCATTTGATGTGTGTTCTTCAGGTGTAAAATGTGAATGAAGGAGAGGTGTGGTGCAGATGGAACAAGTGCAATGACATTGTGGAAATTTTTCTTTCTTTTCGGCATGGTTGTTTCTCCTTTTAAGTTATTTGAGAAGCCTAGCTAGTTGTCCTTCTAAATGCTGCTTTCTTTCTGTAGCACTAGTAACTGTCCAGAGTTTTTTCCCTTGGTTGTGGAGACACAGAGCAGCCTAAATTTCACTCCATGTACTGTGTTGAGTACCGTATTCACATGGACCAAAGGCATCTTCTAGAAGCTTTATTTTAAACATACCTGTTAGAGAATGGAAATTTCATCAACTTCACACATTGGCAAGTGATTCTATATACAGTAAGTCCAGAATATGATGAATACATGATGGAGTCAGCCAGCAACTTTGCTAAATGATGTTGCTCATTCCTGAGAGCCAGTGGTGTGTTAATCCACATAGATGTTGCCAGGCCTTTTATTTTGGTGGGGTAAATTACCAGCAGTGTAATATTGCTCAACACACATCCCAAGAACATGTCTGAAAAGGTGTGTTTCTGTGATTCACACAGATGAACAGCAGGCTTGTTTCATTACGTTTCACTTGCACTTTTTGGGATGCTATTTATATCATGAGCCAGACATAGAAAACTGTCCTCAGCTTAAATAAATTTTGCTGATGAACCAATAAGCCAATTTTGAAGACAGCCTGGAGCAGTTAGCTTACATATCTGTCACTGAAATTCAGTGCCCATTAGATGTGTGATTGCCACAGGCTTCATCTGAAAGTTCCAAGCTGGTGGCTTTTTGTATCCTACTGGTTGAAACAGCTTTTCCTAAATACTCAGGGTGCTCCTTTAATTGAAACATCACACATCCAGATGTTCTTAGAAGCCCTACAGGAGAGCTGCTGATGCTTTCTACCCTCTGTAAAATCCCACACTGTTGTCTAAAGCTACATCCTATATACTGGACAACACCATTTTGTGCTGTAGAAATCATTTCAGTCTCCATAATGCAATGGAGATCAATTTCTTCATCAGATAAGCTCTTACCATCTTCACTTTTTGCTGGCAACACCAATGCTAACTCCAGCTACTGAAACAAAAATATACACTTCTGAAATAGTTTTCATTACAAGATTTTAGTTCTTAGCTACAAATTAAGCAGTAGCAGATTTCTGGCTTCCACCGAACTGAGTGTAGGGTGAGCCTGTATGCTGCAGGGAACCTGCAGGAATGCAGGGAGCGGTTCGGAGCTCAAAGCCTGACGCATCCTATAGGAATGTACGGACTTGGGTCCTTCCGGCTAAGCAACTGTGATGGGAAATGCCAACGGTAGGTGGCACTAGAAATCAGATTTACCGCGTCTCCACAGCCACCTGGAACCTGTCAGAGGGCAGGCAGCTGAGCTGCAGAGGAGGGAGTTGGGTGGCATTGAAAGCTGTTCTGAGATGGATGGCGTTTCTTTCCCATTTTCATGTTCTAACAAACTATGTTAAATCTTCCAATATGTATACGTATGTTGTCTGAGTATACAGAGTGTCTATTGATTAAATTTTGTAGATACTTGCTTCTGTATAAAGTTTTTGAAAATATCACTATATATTCTGTATATACTGTACTTTGAAATAATAAACATACACACGCGTGAAAGTTGACTTTGAATCTGTGGTTTGTGCCATTGCCTATGTGCTGCTGCCCACCTCTGGGCTGTGCAGGTTCCTGCTGGACTTCTCTATTGCACTGCCTGAACAAGAGGTGGCAGTGCCTCGTTGCTCTATGTCTCAGGTACTGCCAGCCAGGCTAACAGTGAGGCCAGGAGAAGTAGAGCTGCACACCTCTCACACACCATGCTTCATCTCTAGGAAGCTGAACTGGGACTTTTCCATCCTGAAGGCAGGTGATAGGCGTGCTGTAGCTACACTGCTTGAGTTATCAATTCCAGTAACTGATCGTAGTGCTGGATCTTCTTTTTTCCTTGGGTAATGCAAATTCACAGAACAACAGAATCACGGAATTGTAGGGGTTGGAAGGGACCTCCAGAGATCATCGAGTCCAACCCCCTGCCAAAGCAGGTTCCCTACAGCAGGTTGCACAGGAAGGCATCCAGGCAGGTCTTGAACATCTCCAGAGAAGGAGACTCCACCACCTCCCTGAATAAAACAGAGCAGCAAACATGGTACTATGGCTAAGACTGTGGCACTATAGTCTTAGCATCAAAGGACAATTCCCTTTGTAACAGCTCTACATCTGAAGTACCATGTTTGCTGCTCTGTATTATTCAGTTACACAGATGGAACATGTATTTTAGTCATCTTATTGCTGTTTTTAAAACAATGCTTTGAGACTAGGGGCTGTTCATTGTGGCCATGCTTATATTGAAATATAAGCCCAGGAATCAGATCTGTATAGTCTGTCCTGCCTTTGCAAACTGGTTGTATGAAGTCTGAGAAAAAGGAAGACCAAGAAGGGGATAGTTGACAGAGTTCATTCTAATAATTCATGTGGAACATTAAGTGAAAGGAAAGGAGGTTTTTTCAGTTGAAATTTAATGGCAAATTACCACTGACTTCTCAGGAGTAGGCTAAGGGTTCCCTTATAATTTCTGGTTGCTGTTATTTGTATTGCCCTTTGCTGGAATTATTTTGTGATTTTCTGTCTCATTTTCTACCTTTTTTCATTGGGAGCAGTTCTAGCTGACAGATAGGACCAAAACTCAGGATTTATCTGTGCTCCCAAATACTTAGCAGTGCTATTTGGAAACAGACTGAAGCAAAACCTCCTCCTATACAAGTCTTGGGCTTGGTGGTATTTGTAAGTATTTGTTAGTTTGTTAGCAAAGTGTCTTCTCACTTCTATTTCAGACCAGCACAACTGTATTTGCAGAAGAAGGGTTCCCATGGCACAGCCACCTTAGGTACTGAAGCCCTCAAGGATGACAGTCTGATACTGGAGCTATTGGGTGATAAATCCACAACCCAATGCTGGCAGTCTGCGGCTCTAGCCAACTGTGAAAGAGGAAATCAATGCTTCTCTTTTTTTTCTCCCTGCCTTATTTTAAGGGCTTTTTTTTAATAGGCATGATTGGGGTTTTGTTGTGGATTTTTTTTTTAGGCTATTTTGCATTAAACCACAGTGGATCTGTGCCAGATTTTGCAAGGTTTTTGCATGTGTGAAGTAACCCCCATCAGAGTGAGCACCGATGAACAAGTTCTCAACTGCTGCGTATAAATTTGCCATTGGATTTGTTTATGGCTGTTCTGCTCTGGTGAATGCTCTGTGGGCAGGAAAACTCTGGCCTTCAGGTGTTGTAGGGCTGCACGCTGAGTGATCTCAGGGCTGCCGTAATGCCTCAAGTGAAGCACTGCTCTGGCTGACAGGCTGAACTAATACTGGTCTGAATGCCTGTGGGCTACCTAAGAAGTTTCTATTTAAAAAATAATCCTCTGGGTGTGGAATGAGGAAAAGCAGCACGTGAAAGCCCTGAAAAGTGTGTGACCTCTAACAAAATGCTGGTGTTTTGACACAAGATAGGTGTGCACAGCCTTGAAGGCACAGCCTTTCCCTTTGGGTTCGCTGGTACTTCCTTCAGTACCGCCCTGGGCTGTCTAACAGCAGGCGTTCAAGAACAGGAGCTGCCTTTGAAGATGGAGATGGCTTGAAGCAAGGTGTGAATTTAGGGCAATGTTTTTCAAGCTGCGATCTGTAAGAGGCAGCTGATCTGATTTCAGAGTGGCTTCATGCCTGGCTGCTGATGGTTCTCACATCACTGCTGGAAGGAGCAGCCTACGCAGCGGCAGCAGTGTTTGTGAACTGTAAAAGCAGCTGGTTAAAATTACTCTCAAAGAAAATTATTAAAACTGAAGTTGCTTTAACTCCAGTCAGTGCCTGGCACGCAGGAGAAGGAGACAGTGAAAATCTCTCACATCAACACTGTGTGTGGAAGCAGCGTATGGCAAAGCTATAGGTGAAGAAGAGCAAGCCTAGTACTGTCCAGCCCAAACCTGCTCTGTGGGTCTGCAAATCCCCTGGAAACTTCAACAAGTCAGAGGTGAAAGCACTGAGTTTGTGCTCTGAGTTGTAGCCTATCAATGCTGTAGTCGTTGGATTATCAGAGAAATGTTGATTAGATGGACTCTGGAAAATACTTACAAGAGGACAGAACTCCACTGCTTTGGGGACAGAGACAGGATAGGCCCAGGGCTCATGCAGAAGGCAACGAGGATACTACCTGCAGCTCTCTACCTGTTGAAGTGTCTCCTACCTGCTGCAGGTCACTGCTCAGTGTTTGGTGGTAAATTGAGAAGTGAACATCCCTGTGCTATATGCAGCGTGTTTGGTCAGTCACACAGCCCTGGTCCTCACGCTGCAGGGACAGGGGAGCATCGAGCAGGGTGGGACAACTGGCAGCAAATCCACTGCATGGCTCTAAGTAACACCCACCCTGCAGCCCCACTTTTCCCCTGGCTTTATTCAGGCATTACTGGGTGCTCAGACTCAGCTGGAGCTCAACAGGTGTTCTCCATTAAGGACAGGCAGAGGGAAGCCTTAGCTTCATAGACCAAGCTGGTGAAATAAGTAGCAACTGCTCTGAATGTCCACAGCCCTGGGGATGCTCTGACTCCCCTGTGGTCTTCTGGAAATCATGCAGCTCAGACTTTGCAATCCTGACACCAAATGCATTGAGGCAAGCTGCTGGTTGTGAATGGCTACTGTGCTGGCACTTCAGAAAAGCAGGTACACCTCTGCACCACAACCTGACATGCTTCTAGGGCAGGTGTAGCCCTTGGAAATGAGATGATGGATTTGGCGATAATCCTGTAGCATGAGGCTGCCAGTTTACTTTTTGTTACTTGAATTACGTCAAAAAACTTCCCTCCTCTGGACTTTCCTTGCAGTCTTCCAAGGCTACTTGTTGACAGTGAAAGACTGTTCAACTACTTCAGACTGATTTGACTCAGATTGGTGGCAGAGCCAATACTGTGCTGGCAGCGGTCACCTTGTAACGCCAAACAAAGTGTATGTCACTGAAGAGAAACTTTGGGCAACTGCAAACTCTGCTGAGGCATGTTGGCAAGCAAGCTCACTTCCACTGCACCGAAGGAAAGTGTGATTAATTTTTCCTTGACTTTGATAGCAGCTAAAACAATAGAACCATCCCCAAAGGTTGAGGCATGCATGCCAGCACAGTTTCTCCAGAGGACAATAAAAAAAAAAAAAAAAAGGAGGGAGTTTTGTTTAATTGTGTACATAGCACACACTGGAAAAAACCCACCAAACAACCCTCACACCGGGAAGCAGCCAGCTGAGCACCAGGGGAAGTTTCTGGAAGGGGAGGCTGGGGCTGGCGGGCGAGGAAGTGAGGTGCTTCCACCGGCTCTGAGTCACCTGAGCCACAGGCTTCCAGCTACAGGGCTTCAGAAGGGCTCCAGTGCAAAGCCGTGCCCAGGTCACAAAGATCCGGCCTCGTAGGCTTCCTTGGGAAGTGCGAAATCCCGTCTTGCACTGAGGTGATGGGGCAGGGCCTCTGTCTGTGGGGCTGCCTGTGAGAGGAGTCGGGCCCGGCCGCGACGTATGGAAGCTTGGCCTCAACAAAGACTGCTTCTGAACGCCTCATACTTCCAAACAAAATTCCTCCTTTCAGCTTAGTTTTGTGCTCTGAAAATGTTTCGGGGGCAGCAAGCTTGTGGCTTCTGCAAAACTGGCTGGTCAGATGTGCAGGAGCACTGGCCAGAAATTGTGCGAGCTGCCCCCAAACTGGGCTTTGTATCTGTGCTGGGTGAGGAGAAGCTGCTCGTCTTGGATAAGCACAGAAAGGCTTAACAGCAAAGCACAGCGCAGAGGGGCTGGGGTGAGGCTTGCTGGAGAAAGCCCTGTTTTTCCCCATCTCTTGGCCTATTTTTCACAAAGGCAGTCCCAGCACAACGGCAGGGGCCTTGCCTGCCCACGCCTGGCATACGGCCGGCAGCACCATCTGAGCCACTGAACCCCGGGCATCCCAAACATCCACGACTAAGTGGATAGATATATATGAAAAAGAAACAGAAGGGTCTGGCTGCTTTTGGCAGTGTGGCGCAGGGTTTGTGATGAGTTTAAAGCAGGAAAAAGCACTGGGGTGTGTGCATGTTTTGGTTTTGTTTTAGTGTTGCAAAAGGCACTGTTAAGAAATGTAATTGATAATAGAGGAAAATGGACAACTCCATAGTGCCAAACTATACGTGTCCAAGTTGACTGTCAGCTCTTAGCAGAAAGGCTGGGTTACATTCCAGTAGCATTGGGGATGGAATGCTGGAGGATTTGGATGTGAATCCCGCGAGAGCCCATGGTGGTGCTGTGGGAGGCTGGAGGCAGAACTGCCACAAGCAAGGACCGGACTTTGCTGAATTGCTGAGGGAACAACGCAACCCCAAACTGCCTCTGTTAGGAAGGTGCACACCCAGGGCAGGAAGAACAAATCATGACGCTGTCTGTGGATGCAGTAAAGAAAGAAAGCAACAGAAAGATCGCCTCAAAAGTACTTATTTACCCTTTGCAGTTCTGAAATCCATTTGCACTGCCACTGACAAAGGTCTGAAGATGGTTTGCATGCCAAGCACGTACACCTATCATGCTGGGTAATGCTGCATCATCGTTTCCTGGTGCTCCTGTTTTCCTGCCCGTATCCATCTGTTGTCCTGTGTGAAGGTTAGATCAGCGGCACTTGGGGGCTGGGAGGGCTGCGTGTGCTTGTGCAGAACCAGCACAAACTGTTCCTGATCCTTGCCTGGATCAGCTCAGAACTGCTATCAAAAAAGAAAGTTTAAAGATCTCACGCATGTAATTAAGGACAACTTTAATCCAAGATAAGTAATGACGTGTGAAAATTACAGAGGAACAGAAATTGCATTAGCCTTTGTGCACAAGCAAGGGAAGAATTGCAAAATAAGTGCTTTGCAAAGTTTGAATATTTAGAGGCAAACACAAGGTGCACAGAAGGGGAAATGGAGTATGCAGCTAGCAAGTGTGCACATCTGCAAAGATGCCCTATTTGCAGTGCCAAGAAAATCAAAACTGCTGCCAAGAAAAACATAGTTAGAAAGATACAATGACATAGCCCTGCTGCTGCTAGTAGAGTTGTAATTACATGCTGAACAAACAAGAAGGAAAACACCAACAGCATCAGTTAGTGCAACAGGGATATAGACCTCACAACCCACAGGCAAAGGGGGAACCTGCAGACCTGTAGACACAGGAGCAGACTCAAGCCACAGCAGCACTTCCCCTGGATGAGGGACTTGAACGCTGCTGAAGGCATCAGCCAGCCTTTTTTCTAGTGGTGATGCAGACCTAAGCATGGGGGCTGCATGCTCAGGTTCGTGAATTTTTCACTGATTAGATTTAAATCCACCACACCTGAAGCTCCCACTAGAACAGACACCTGGTGATCAGAGTAAGCCAAGAAAGCTGCAGTTCAGCACACTGCATCTTGAGCAACCAAGACATTCTGTAAGGATGCACTCAGCACTTTGTGCTTTTGAGAAAAGAAGGAATACGCTTTGTGTGGGCTTTGAGATCTCTGACCAGGCGAGGTCCCACTTGTAAGGTAAGTACTGGCAATTGCAACGCGTTCAGGAAAGAGGTGTGATTTATGTTCTCCAGATGTCTGTTCCCTGCCTTCTGAAGGCTGTGCCCATTTAGATGTGCCAGCACTGCTTATGCTTGCAATGCACTCAGGTGATAGAGCTAGATGTGACAAAGTGCAAATGTGGAACTGCACAAAGATAGGAACATCCTGGCTCAGTCTCAACCTTATACTTTGCTAAAAAGCAGGGAACAAAAATGTCTTGATGTTGAGTAAAAGGCATTCTATTCATCCTTTATTAACAAGCTGTTCTTCAGGGGTGTCTGCTCATGAGCAGCATTTTTTACTTGTGCTTCACAGCTTCATGTATAACTTAGGCTTTAATATAATCAACCGGGTGTAACCCCCCTGATAAGCAGGAGAAGGGAAAAGCATGCAAGATGCAAGATGTTCCCACTGAAGTCTCGGTTCCTCTTAGCACAAAGAGGACCTATGGGCACAGAATGACTAGAGCTCAACTATTCTTATGCACGCCTCATTTGGGGAAGGCAGTTAATCTGGTGGTGTAACCACAGACCTCAGCTGCCACTTCAGAGATGCCTGGGAGACCACAAAGCAGGGATGCAGGGCTGAGATTGGTGTGTGATGACACCAGGCCCAGGGTCATGATCTGAGGCCTCTTAAGTGTCTTCATCCCACAAGCAATGGGAGACCCAGAGGTAAGAACCTCCCTACATGAGCCTCCAGACCCACAGAGGAACCACTCCATCCCTGCCTGCCCTGTTCTGCCCCTTTCTGCTGCTTTGGGACCTACAGATCTGTAGGTCAGAAGGGAGAACTGATACAGTAATCAGACTACAGAAGGTGCTCAAGAACAAAAGACTGATTTTAATGTCCTAGCTTTGAGCAAGTTTGGCTGTTACCTGCAGGAAGTCTTCATCGTTTGTGTTGAGGAGGAAGCAGATGGAAATCACAGTATTAATTTGATCTGAAGAGGTTGCGTTCTGGAAAAACACGTGTGTCAGGCCCTGTTACTCAGGGCAACTGAACTGGGGACAGATCGAGCCATGTGTGGCCTGCAGGCATGCCCTTCCTCCAGCAAAAAGGTCAGCTCTTGCAGGAGCACCAAACCCTGCACAAGGTCTCCTGTCCTTCAAGGAAGGTGAATAGCAACAGGAATGTCCCCTTGCAAAGCCCCGTAATTAACAAATTGATGGTGCTGTTAGTTGTCTTTGGGTGAGATCAAAGCAAAGCAGAGTCTGGAGAGAGAGATCACAGGCTGCCAGATATCCACAGGGTTCTGCTGTCGTACCCTGGCATAACCCAAACCTTGCCTAAGATTTACTCCACAGATCCCATCTTTCCCCAGATCTGAAGGTGTACCTGGCTGCAAAAGGGTTTAATGAGCTCATGCTGCAATAACTTGAACACCCATCTCCCTCTGGAAGCACAGGCTTTTCATAAAAAGCAGCCGCTGCTGGAGATGACCCTGCAGGCGCTGTATCTTCAAGATTGTCGTCATCACGATCTTGAAGTAGCTCAGTGGTTGCTGGAACAAGCGGATGATAGCTTTCCTACTCCCTCCTACCCGCTCTGCTTTTGGATCCCATGATTTCTTTCTTGTTTAAAATGATTCAGCAATAGACTCTCAGATAGTCTCTGTCTGGTTAAAAATAGTTGCTTGCCTCATACGGGTTTAGCATGGTGCTGTCAACTGTAAAATGTTCCACCTTCCAAAAAAGTAGAGTGAAAAATGAAAGTGAGTGTTCGCACCCTATTACTCTCTGCAGTCAGACCCCTGCATTCAATCCAAGCCCATTGCAGGAGGAGAAGCGAGCTGGACAGGGCAGGCAAGATGCTGGGGCATTGCCCAGTACTTGCGGAGCTCTACACCATACACAACATCACCAAGGCTGATGGTTCACTCTTGTTTCTCCCACCAAAAAACACCAGTTTATTTTGAACAAGTATTTATTTGTTAAATTTCCAAAATACAAGAAGAGTTCAGTCATTGCAGATGGTGTCTCATGATGCCAGCTGGGAGAACACGCTCCATGAGGAACCAGTATAGCCCAGTTAGCTGACCCACATCCTAAGCCATAACACTGGGGCAGGAGGGTCCTGTCACAGATACAACTACCATGTTCCGTGTTTGTGTAGAGCCTGCACAGCATCATCAACAGGCCTGAGCCTTGTTTAGACCAATGAACTGAACATTTTGGGAGCAAAATTAGACAGTCTTATAGCAATCGCGGCTTTTTCATCTGTTTCTGCTTGGCTGGAAGCTGAAATGTGTTTGCACTCAGTTGGTTATTTTGGCTGGTGGATGTGCACTGGGACACCTCTGCCACAGTAGTGTCCTGGGCTAGTGTTGAGGCAAAGCAGAGGGACAAATGGAAAGGGCCTTGGGTTCAGCCTGCTGAGCAGTGCTGTGAGGTGACAGACCCATGCTTCTGCATTGCGCCCAGTCCGCTCCTGATGCACTGCTGAGCACCGCAGCCAAATCCTGGCCGCCATCTGTGGGGCAGGATTTGACCTCAGAGTCAAAGGTCACACAAAAGCCAAGCCAAGTGCTACATCCTGCAGGCTGATGCTCTGAGCCCTATCCTTGTGGCAGCTGGCACTGCTGTGGTGTTTGAGAGGCCATACAGCACAGCCTATGGTTACAGCTCTGTCAAATGCATCAGCTCAAGGTTGTTCCCAGCAATGCAAGGGATGAGCCTCGGAATGAACTACTGCAACAGGAAAATGGGCACCTTGAGGGAATGCAGACAGGGGCTTAATTTTCTAGCCTCAGATACCTACATGTGCTAGACCCAAGGTCACAGCTGTGTTTATGGGAAAGGACGTTTTCACAGGCCAACAATGTTAATGCGCACCAGGCCTTATGCAATTTTCCTTTCCATTTATAATATTATGCATTTTATACGATAAAGTTTGTAGTGTGGCTTTTGTGCATGAATGATACAGTTTCCATAATATTTTTTAATATGCAGAGACACTTTATTTTGAGCTCTCGGGGCATGAGTCAACTCCTATTTCAGGCCACTGGAGTCCTTCCAGTGACCTCCCTGAGACCTGGCTCACGGGGCAGCTGAGGCCTGATGCGCAGAGCTAGCAAGACCTGCAAGGCTCAAGGCAGCTCAGGGTCCACCAACAATTCCTGGATTGGGAAATTACACTTACAGCATCACCAGCCTCCCCTGGGCAAGCTGCAGCAATTGGCTTCAGCCCTGCAAGATCCCCTAATTGACCCACCTGGAGCAGATGCTAAAGTCCCTCAGTCTCCAGGCTCTGGTGAACAACAGGATTGTCCAATTGCAGGATGACTGCCAGGCCAAGAGCTCATGACTTAGAAATCAGACGCGTTTAATGTTTATGAAACATCTCCAAAGAGTTTTAAGAAGGGATCAAAAGTGTTTATACACAAGCTGGATGGACTCCAAAGTGCTGCATGCTGTGTTGTGTCAACTCTCACACCTGCATATATGTTAAAAAATCCCTATGAAACAAGGGAGCCAAGCAATCGAGTGAGTCTAACTAGCCCCCTCTTGGTGCTTTGACTAGAGCCACACAACATTTTTCCTATCAGAACTGCAGGTTGTTATGCAAAACCTCTGCAAGGAGACCAGGCTTTCTCTGAATTTGGGGTGCTGTGGGGTAAACTCCTGGAGGGGCTCTGAGCCCGGCCGTGTGACACCAGCAAAGAGAGACCTGACCGAAGAGCAGTGGAGCTCTTACCAAACCTCCCCTTCCTTGTGTGTTTGGGTTTTCTATGCCAGAAAGTTTTTTGAGCCCTTTGTAATAACGCAGTTTCTCCTCCTTCTGCTATCACTCACAGAAAGTTCTGCCTTGACCGTGTTTTTACATAGGATGACAGCAAAATTCAGCCCATAAAAGGTTATTGACCTGGGAAGAGAGAGTTTATAGAATTTAAGGGTTGGGCATTTTCTTGGAAATTGTCTTATCAGCACGGCTCCAAGCCTTGCTGAGCTGTGTGTTGCTTGTTCCTATTCCTACAGCTCTGTACACGTTTTATTTTGCAGTACGTTATTTAACACAGCTTCTAGCTAAGATTGCCACAAAGTAGGAAGCCAAGCTCAATAGTTTTTCTATTTCTGAAATTAGGTGTCAAATGGGTCCTGAAGCAAAGGAGCACCCAGGGATGGCACAAAAAGCGGTGCTGCAAACCTTATGCTTCCTCTTTCACTGGTGGAAAAGGAGTGGCTAGGGGCCAGGGGGTATCAGTAGAAGCAAGAGGGCAAAACAGGAACCTCAGTTCCTCAGGCTCTTGGCTTTGTGTAGCAAGGAGTGTCACCAGAGTGTGTGCTGGTCACTGAGGGCAGCGGAGGAGGACTGGCGGGGAGTCAACTAGTGCAACACGCTGGGGATTTAAAACCAAACCAATGATATGCTGCCGTCTGCTCTAGGCATGAGCCTCTGTGCACACAAGGACAGACACTGCATTTTCACAGAGCCAGGAAGGACTGGTTCACTATAAACCTGCCCTGCCTATCACTCTATTCCCACATAGGAAGGGCAGGAGCTGTCGGAGGCATTTCTCCATGTGAGCAGGGCTTTGCATCTTTGATCCAGACTTCGTCCCCAGGGGATGTGAGGAAGGAGTTGACCATTGAAACCCTCTGGTGCAGGCAGTTCGGCCAATGCCTTGGTTGGGGCTGACTGCTCAGCAAGGCTGGTGTCTTCCTTCAGAACCAACTGAAGCCTGCAGAACTATGGACACAGCTCCAGTAAGCTCACCTCCCAAGCCGCTGCTCTAATAATCCTCTTTGCTCAGTCTTAGTGACTAAAGTGAACCACAGCCAAGAAAAAAAACCAGAAAGATTGCCCTCCAGCACCTGCTCCCACTGAAAAGATTATCACAGCAGGTGACACTGGATGATGTCTTTTGCGTGTCTCCATCAAAGCATCCTGAGCCACCTCCTTAGCAACCCACCAGAAGACATCTCTCCCTTTCTGCATGCCCCTTTCCCAGGTAATTTCAGCTCAGCACCCGGAGGCTCTGAGCAGATGGAAGGCAGTCCACAAGTGTCAGTACTTGCACATCTCCAGCACACATGGCTGCTCTCCAAATAGCATTGTCTCTTGATTGTCCAAGGGGGAGGAGGAGTGGGCAGTATGGGTTGGATGATGCGGAGCTCAGAAGACAGACAACAGCTCCAAAACACTTCAAAACAAATTGTTTTTCCTGCTCATTGTTCCTTGTACTTTTCCTGTGTAAGTACAGGATCTGCCTCACCTCACAACATATAAAGGCTCTGTTTTGCTGCATTTACATCCACGATCAATAGTAACTGATGCAAGAGGATGATATTTTACTGGAGAATGAAAATGTTTCTTTCCAGAAAAAGAGATCTTCCTCATAGCTGTTTAGGCAGGAAAGCAGGAAAAGTAGAGAAGGTCCAGAGAAATTCTGGAGAGACTTAGAACTTTCGTGGAAAGCTCAGCAACAGAAATGCAACCTTCTCATAGATGGAGATCTTCTGTTTGACCTCACTTTCTGGACATGAAATCTCTCCTATTCTTCCCATTCTTTCTGTCTTTCTTTTGGCATCACCTTGAATATCAAGCTTAGTTCAATGGCCAAAAATTTGCCTCCGAGTGTTTTAGCAGTGCCATGAGGGCTGGTTCTGTGACTAGCTGCAAAGCTTCAGAAGCAGCCTTTGTAAGAAGAAGGATGCTCTGGAGTGAGGGAGGTGGCCGTCATCTTAATACTGACGAGCATGATTTAAGAGGGGAGGTTTGAGTGTGTAAGTCACGTGTGCCACTGGGGCTCTAGGGACAGGTTTTCTGTCTTCAGCCACTGCACAGATGTGCAATTTCCTGTAGCAGTGTTAATGAAGTACTGCCATGCCTCAGGCTGTGACCGAGCACATGTGTTCCAGTTGTGTTAGCAGAAGGCCAAGTGCCCTGGGCCCCTTCAAGGAGGGGTGGCAACTGTCTTTTAGTCTTCTGCGGTGCAGAAAAATGCTGTAACTGCCCCAAAATTTCCATGGCATGAGCTAACTCCTCTCTTGAGTTCTTCTCATGAGCATTCTCCCATTGCTTAAGCAGAGATTTGGTGAACAAATTACTGCAGTCACAAATGGTTTTTCTATAATGGAACGTGGCATTAAACTAAACACCGGAGATGAAGACAAACAAAACAAAAAAATCTGGGAATAATCCTTAGCTTGCAGTGAATTTTGCAAAACATTGTTGAAATTAGGTTTTACTGGAACAAAAATGTATTTATCACATCTGTCAACACTGGAAAATTATGTTTAAATTAGGACTTTATTTTAAACCCCGAAGATGACCCAGAAGTGATATAATATTTATAAATAGCTTAACATACACAGTATAAAAATACATTTAGCCTCATACTATTGAGTCAATATTGAGTCAACAGTATTCTTGCCATTGTCATGTATGAGGGGAAATTAGTTTTACCTTCCTTGCCAACAAAACAGAGAAAAAAAATTAAAACTATGGAGAGGAGAGCAACAACAGCCCACAGGACAGATTGTGTTGTGAAAACGGGCACGAGAAAGCAGTGCCCACCAGAACGGGCCACCCTGATGCTGAAGGTTGTGTAGAAGCAAGCCAGCACCAAAGCTTCTGATCCCTGCCACTGTGCACCAGCTTTGAAGCTACAGTCTCTCAGATGCTGATCCCTGCCCTGAGCCAGCCTGCTGGGATGCACTGTGGATGGGTGGCTCTTTTCAATGTCTTCACTCTGTTGTTCTTGGCCATGGCTTTGACTGGAATGCAGACTGTGGGCAAATTTTTGTGCCAGCTCAACTTCAAAGTAAGAAATGCTCTGTGAGTGCAATACAACACACTGTGCAGGTTCCTCTGACAAGCCTGAGTAATGCAGTGTGTAAATTCAGCCTAACACCATCCACTCTGCTATCTTATATGGCCAGGAACACCCATGGGGCCCCCAGCACAGGCATCATCCCCAAGTACTTGCTCAGCCCTCATTGTGCATCCTGGAGGCTCAGGCACTGAGCTCAGCTACTGAGTGGTACCAGGATGTTTCGGGGTGTGAAGATCTTAAGCATCCCACCTGCTGGCTCCATCAGGATATATGTTGGGGATGGAAGCAGTGGGCAGCAGTGGAGCATCATGGATGCATCTGGATGGGATGCTGGCTGGCTGCACACAGAGCTATCACTAGAGTAGCAGGGAGCCAAGCAGAAGATCATGAATAATGCTGTGAATCCACTCAGAGAGAAGAGATGGTGGGAGGACATTGGTAGCAGGAGGCTCTCAGTGGCCGGGAGCCATGTGGTGACATGGGGAGATAAGGCTCATGATGGATGGACCTCAGAAGGTTTGAAGGCTTTTGTTCTTCTTGGGTAAGCAGTCAAATATTCACACAGATAAGCTTCAGAAATGCATCTGATCAGAAACTCTTTGTATGTAAAAATGCAGGGCTGGAAATAGCACAAGATATTTCCTCTGGCACTTCATCGTTCAAGGGCTTTCCTTCACCAGCACCAGCATGCTCGGACCCACCCATGCAAGTAACTGCGGGTCAGAGCACAGTGTGCTTGGGCACTCTGTGCTTTGTCATTGTGGTCCAGGGCTGCAGGAAGCTCTGAAGGGACCAGTAGGCATCCTGAAACTTTAAATTGCAGCGCTTGAGAGGAACGCTTTTGGAGAGTGCATCATTTCCTTGGAAATTAATTATAACATGCTCTACCCCCGCGAGTTTCCTTGTACCATAAGTTGTTTAAACAGTTTCTCATTACACATTTCCCATTCAGATGAAAAACAAACCAGAAGGCCTGAGGCATCAAGGCGGATGGGAAAATGGAAATCCTGCTCTGAGCATTGGAGCAGGCACAGAGCAGCTCCCAGCTTGGGACCCAGGAAGGTTTGGGGTAGGCAGGGGTAGGTAGGAGCAGTGAGGCTTGTGTCTCCATAGGAAGTTTTTGGGTGACCTAAATGCATTTTGAGTTCACCGTTAACCAACCAGTCAGTTATGTGGGGATCCTGTTGGAGCATGCCTAGTCTTGGGATGCTGCAAGGAGGACCAGATCCCAGCCCCAGCGGTAGTGCAGCAGAGGGCTTTCAGGGAGACCTTCACTCATCTGTGCTCAGGGCTCATAGCTTCCCTGTGTTCCTCCCCAAGCTTCCTGGGTTGCTATTTATATCTTCGCCCTAATGAGTCCCCCATCCTCCCCCAAGTGTTAACTTCTTCCTTGCTAAGCAGTGCTTGCAGTTTACATTAGAAAGTTGTTTATGTTATATAGTTTTGTGATAGTTTCCTCCTACACCCCCCTCCCTTCCTTCCCCAATAAAATCAAAACGGCATGCTTGGCAAGGCCCATGAATAAAGGTGGGGGGCTGAAAACCCAAACACTTTTTGGTGAACCCAGTAGGAAATAACGTCTCTCCTGAGGGACACTAAAGACTGAGCTCATAATAGTAGGAAATAAGTGTCCACCCTAAGCGACGAATTGCCTACTTACAGCTACCTAGTGTAAAATACAGATGTCATGCAGCAAGCCATGAGCCCTCATGGGATGTAGAGGTGTCTTCCTCACTAGTTGGAATGGATGGTAGCAAACCCATTTGTGTGCAAGGCTCTGTGTACTAAAAGTTGTATCAGGTTTGCAGGGAAATGAGAGAAAAATTAAAAGGCAACAGTGTTTTGAACTCACCTAAATGGGTGAACAGCAGCAGAAGGCAATACAAACCCATTATCCTGACTGCTCCCTGCAGAGGAAAAACATGCACACAAAATCCTATTCATTATTCTCTTTCTTATTTAATGCTAAGTAAGTCACTGAACTTTACTACTTGATCTATCCATTTTCTTTAATAGTAGTGCTGCAGGAAATCTTTTGCTCCTCAAAGGGGGTTTCAAGTTCCTGACTGATATACAAAAAATACTTGGAATGCATGAGTAAAAAATAACTGCATTTCAAAGGGAGGTTGAGCCATGCCAATAATGATAATTTTTCTCTTCTGAGATGCAGCACCAAAGAGTGGAGGTCAGAAGGAATTCAGAGCGCCACTGTTCTCCTTCCAGGGACTTTATCTGGAGACAGGCGCAGTGACAGACCCCGCATTATCTGCTCCTGGTGTTAATGGCATGCATTTGACAACCTCAACAGTTTAATTTATAAAGTGTCTCATAACATAAAGACAAAGAAATCCATACCATGCAAAAGCGTGAGCACATTCAGTGCAATTAAAAAGTATCTCATCAATGCCCAGCATGCTCTGCAATGTTACCTTCTTTATTATGGTGATACACAGATGTTCCTAAAAGGCACCTGAGATGTTCTAGAGTGATGAAAGCATTATATAATGAGATATATTAATGGAAACAATCCAGCCGTGACATCATTCCAGGCTTTTTTTTATCATTGCATTCCTTGCTCCTGCATGAGTGGAGTGCACAGAAATAAAAGCAGTGACGTTTCTTCCACCAGAAGACACGCATAATGTGAATTGCTCAAAGTCACTAACAGGGCCCATCAGTGTCAGAACACTGTGCAAACAGAGCTGCTCCTCCTGGGGAATTATTTATCTGCTGGCTGTGATTTGGTGCCATGCCACCCCCTCGCAACTGTGGACAAGCTTAGTTCCCAACTACTGCTGCCACCAGCTACCTGAGCTGCACTTCCAACCCCCTTGGTCCAAGGCTCTGCCAAGGGCTGACGAGTCAGTCTCATGATCTTCCCTTGGATGTAACTACACCCTGAGAAGGCAAAATAACAGTTCAAAGGGTACTTGTATGGATCTCAGCTTCTGCAGCATCACCAGACACAAAGCTTGTGATCTCATCCAAGAGATCGACATCAGGGCTGCAAACAAAACAGATTGTCTCAGCCTTGTCACTCTGCACCTTCCCATTTCCCTCGGGCCATTATCCGTGTTCCTGCAATCCATGCAGACCAGCTGAAATAAACCTTTCCTGGAAGGCCTTGTTCTCCCCCCAGTGAGCCTGATGCTTGTGTGTCTCCAGAGGCTCTGCCAGCAGAGACATGCCATAGGGTTGGATTGGCACTGAAAACTGCAGATGTGCTCACCCAGCTCCCAGCTTGCTGGCAACCAACCAGCAGCAAAAAAGAAACAAAAGCTCTCGTGTGGATGCTCTTGGGATGATATGAAGCACTGTTACAATACCTGTTGTTATTGGCAATTACTGCATCTGCAGCTGTCTTACTCTGAATATTATGTTAAAGTTCCAAAAAGCCTGAATATTTTATACAATCCTATTGGTCTCTTTTGGTGCTGAGAACACTTTAATGCACTTTATTATCCTACCTCTTGTAAGCTACAGAGTGCTGCTATCAATCCTCCTGTTTGTGGTGACCATGGAAAGAAGTGAGGAGTGGCTGCAAGTGGACCTTGGTGTGGCCATCTTAGCTCCATATGCTGCAGCCACCATCCTGGAGCCAGGTGGGCTGCCTGTCCTGTCCAACACCCGCTGTAAAGCTGTTCAGTGCCCCAGTGTTTCTGGCTGCCCAGTTGGGTTACACATGGTGTTCTAGCTTGGGCTGTTATCAGGTCTCCCTGCTACCCAGTTGTGAGGGCACTGCCTGCCAGGGAACTCATCCTATGTTACTTTCAGTGGCGTAAGCGAGCTAATTGAGGCTTTATTTGAAGGCTCCCAAGCGAGTAGTTAGGGGAAGAGCAGACAAACATCACATCCCTCCTTGAAAGCTGGGCTCAGAGAGCAACCGGGACACTAAACAATGGTAGCTTTGTGGACGTCTCCCAATTTACCTGCTCCTGTCCAAGAGGAAGCACCCCTCCCTCCCCAGCACAATGGTTGGTTTGGTAATCCTGAGCAGGGGCGTAGGTTGGCACAGGTCTTTGTGTCACCGCGCTCGCCTTCCTGGAGCGGGATTGGGGAAGAAGCGTCCAAGTTCCCACCTCCACCATGGGTAGAGCACCCCACTGAATGTAGCAGTGAGGGGAACTTGGAGGGAACAGCAGCCTCAAGCCCTCAGGCTGCATGGAGGAGACCAGCATGGAGCAGCATGGCATTGGAGAGGCACTGAGGAACTTCCAGGCAGAAAGTTGTTCTCTACTCCCTGCTAAGAAAGTGTGCTGGGGGCTTCTCTGAATCTCTTGCTCTTAAGAAGTCCGGAAATTTTGACCACAAAGTACTTAAAAGTTTTTACCACATTGCAAATTGTTTGTCAAGAGCTGCTCTGTTACGCCAGAAATATTTTATTGAAACCAGAGGGTATTCTGAAATCCCACCTGAAGGAAACAACTGCCAGCCCCTTAAGGGGATCTGCAGCATTCACCATGGCCTTTAAAAATGGATTTTTTCTGGCTGCAATATTTATCCAACCAGCAGCTGCTGAGATTTTGAGCCCCATAGTGCCTCTTTGCTGTATTCCCTTAAATATACCTTTCACAGCTCTGTGCCAATGAGTTTAGGACCAATTATCAAAATCATTTTGGTGAGAAGTCTGAATAGCATGGCTTTGAGAGAGACATGAGGCAAGGTACATCATCGCCTGGAGGTGAAGAAGAGTGGTTGATGGCTGGAGCACAGAACCAGGAGAAAATCCCCATTTAATCTCATTAAGGGTAACAGGATTCGGCGCGTTACACAGGATCAGAGAGGAAAGGCACACCACCGTGCCCACAACACACCACTGCCTGCAGCAGCGGCAGAATCCAGGGTACACTTCTGCTTTCCCTTTCAGGTTACTGACCTCGAGGTCAGGGTATTTTCTATTTGTTTGGTGTGTTTGCAGCTGGCACTAACAGCATTGAGCACGGTGCCCATCAGGACGAGGCACAGCTCCTGTCTGGGCAGAGCCCTGCTGGGCGCCAAGGCAAAGCGAGCAGCCAGCAACATGAAGGAGCGTGCAGCCAGCTGCCAGCAAGACAAGATGGCGGTGGGCAGGGGAGGGAACGCATGCCTGCTGCAAGCTGAGGCCTGTTTACCGTTAATGAATCCGAACTCTCTTGTTTACTGTCCCTTGTTAGGACCACAGATGAGGCATGAGGCCAGGCCGGGGAGGACTCTGGGTCACAAAGCTCGGCGTGCGGCGATGGCCTCGGCAGGAGGGCAGCTGCTGGGGGAGATGCAGCCTCCACAGGTTTGACAGGTATGTCTGCTGGGTGCTGCTCAAAAAGTGTCAAAATCGTTTAGGAGTGCCTGGGGCACGTGTCAGCTGCCAGGCAGCAGGTGGCACCTCTTAGATCATGTTTCTGCAGCGTGTCAGCCTGATGTCCCCCTATCAGAAGTTGTGAGACTTTCCCAGAGGAAGGCAGCACCTCCAGTATGGTTCCAAAGCCCCCAGTTTTGCCATTTGCAAACAGGTTTGCTTGCCATCACCACCTCTCTCATCCTTTTCCCATCCTGTGGCTTTTCCCAGCCCAGTCTGCCAGCCCCTGGCGAGGGCGAACCGCCTGCTGCGGCCGTTCCTACCAAGTGGGCAGGCAAACAAAAAGCGTATTGATTCCTTCCGTGAGCCCATGATTACAAATAGTGTTGATCTTACATTACGTGCGGCTGTTTACCCGGAGAGGAGGACTCCTTGCTTCCTCCCCGGGCGCTGAGGAATTTGGCAGGCTGTGAAAGCGAGTCAGTGGTGCATAGGGGAATGCTCCTCGGGGAGAGCGTGCTGAGCGCGATCCCAGGAGATCGCATTAGCGCTCCTGACACGATCAAACAGAAAGTTCCAGCTGAACAAAGGGTTTTGAGGACTCAGGCTGAAATATTAGGAAGGTGTGTGCGTCTCGGTGAATTTGCTTCACTTCCCTCCTTGATGGGGCTGTAGCAGAACTATTTTTAGGTATAATCCTTCAAACAGAACATGACTTCTCCTTTCTGATTAGCACAAAGCTGGCTGCTAGTCAAAGGATAATTATTTCCCAACACATCACCTAACACACACCGACAAACAAAACACTTATTATTCAGCTATCCAGCGTTACCTACAGCGTTAACTGTTGGTTAGCGGTTAACATTTTCTTGACAGCTTTGAATGGGACTAATTGCTCCAGCTTCATTAACAGAGGTCATTTACTGCTGCAAACAATATTTTTGTGGAGATAGTCTCTCCAAAAAGATTAGATTATCAGGTCAAATTCTGCTGCCAGTGGCAGTGATGCCTGACCGCATTTGGCCTCAAGAAAGCCTGCTCCTTTAGTTCATAGCTGCACAATTTCCAGCCCTGCAATTGATATATTACATAAAGGAAGTTAAGTGCACTCCTCTAGACAGGAAATTACAATAAATGAGGAAAGCGCGCGGCACAAGGAAGGTTTGCAAAATAGCCATTTAAAAGTTATTAATAAAAGTCAACTTCAGATAGGGTTTAGCAAAGAAAAAAATAACAAGCTGCTGAAAAAGTTGTCCCTTTACTTGAAAACACATGCTTACTCAGAAGGGAAAGCAGCTGCTCACAGAAGCAGCAGAGCGTGCTGCATCACCAGCCAACGGCTGATGCTGTCAAATCCTGTATGTACTGTGGGTGCTGCTCAGATCATAATTTTAAGCCACATTTTTTGGGCACTGTTTCATTGGTTCATCAGTTATTGCTTGGTGTGAATCTACAATCAGTTGACGAATGGAGTCACAGTTTTGAAGTGCAGTGAGTTTTCAAGCAGCACTTCAGTACATTCAGACTTTGGAAACATCCATCTCCACTTTTCCTCAATTCCCTGCAGACAGCCAGAAGTAAAACCGGGCTTCCTACCTGACATTCCCACCCAGGCACCTGGAGGGCTGCAGACTGCTGCTCCATCCTGCTGCGCAAATGCTGCCAGAAAGCCACCGGCACCTTTGAGGATCCAGCCCTGACATGCACACGTCTCAGGCACTCACAACAAATGATTTGGGCCCTGATAGACACCTGCTGCCTTCCCAGCAGGGATTTGTTTTGCCTTTCTCCATTCCTTGCAGGCCCGTGCTCTTGATGGTGACTTTTCCGCACACATACACGTGCAGCCATGTGCTGCCACCTGTACTTTCCGACACACAGCTCCAATTGTTAATCCACATCTGGCTTTCTTCAAAAAACCCAACACACTCAGCTTTTGACTCATTTTCTCCAGATCATTTCAGGAATCCTGTTAGTCTTTGTGGGCTTGCTCCTTCTCCAGCCATGAAGCACAGCCTGTCCCAAGCACAGTCCGTGTCCTGGGGTCAACAACAGCTTCCCATGCTCATGCACATGGCCAGACAAGCATCCCTCTGTGCTTACAGGGTCACCGTGCCACCCCTTTGGTACCCCCTCATGACAGACCCCCATCTGCTACCAGTTGAGTCCTCTTCACTGGCTATTACCACTCCAGCTTGCAGGCTCCAGGCTTTCCCAGCGGGTCCTTGACTGGCCAGACCTCATTGGGAACACCTCCTGACCGCTGTGCTCATGCAGTTGGTCCTACTGTGGTCAATGGGCAGCACTCGCCTTGCCTTTATCCTCCTTACTGCTGTGATGCTCTCCCAAGGGATGACCCAACACAGCTATTCAGCAGGATGAGCTGAGTAAGCTCTGGCCCTGAATTTCCCACCTACAGACCCCTCTGACCCAAAACACTCATTGCTTGCTGAAGTCTGAGTACATACGTGCTGGGGCCAGATCCTGCCCTGTCAAACCCAGTGATGGGGTTAAAGGGTTAGCGCTGCCATGCCCTCCCATCACGTACTGCCCCATCCTATTCCATCTCCAATGCAAGCAGCCACCACTTTTCTATGCCACTGTTCCCTGCACCTGCAGCGCCCTGCTGATTTTGCTGGAATCACAGACAGAACCAGGTCTGCAGGGTGAAAAACCAACGTACCTTGTGGTAGCAGAGCAGAACTTGCCCAGCACCTGACCTGCCACTGCAGTGTCTTAAAGACCCTTCCCCACTGTCATCAGGGCAGAAACCACTAACTGCAGCTCACAGTCAGACTCCAGCTAAATCAGCTCAAAAGGATTATTTCTCCCTAGTGCTGCTATTTTGTTCTTGCACTAAATATACAACTTCTCTTTTTTTTCACTCTTCAAAATACATCACTAGAAATTGCTAAAGACAAATTCTTTAACTTAAAAAAACGCAACAAATGATTTCCAAAACAAACTGTTGGCTGCTCTCCTACAGATCTCACCTTGGGAAGCACTCTTCCTAGAAGCTGATTTCTAACTTAGCTCTCCTTCGGAGTCTAATAAAGCTAAAAACGGCTTCACTTTCATTCCGCACTGACGTGAGCTGTCCTACGCTGCCTTTTTGTTGCTCTGCCTGCAGTAGTGCACTCTGCATTCATTGCAGTAATGAAACATTGATACAGCGTACCTTCACAGAGCACTGAGAGCGGGCAACCTTCTGCACCAACAACCCAGACACACAGCCCCCTTGCTCACAGAGCCCTGAGTGTTGCAGTCCCCTGACTCTCTGCCTCTAACAAAGCATGAATACAACCCCAAATGGCACGGTTACAGAAAGCAAGCGTCCTCATTATCAGGCTGGAAACACCTTGTTGTTAGCACTGGTTCTAAGGGAAGTCGGCAGACTTTGGTGCAACAGGAACGCAAGCCAGTTGGGTTTCAAACACGGTTTTACAATCCCGCGTCAGGCAAAGCCATTAGATAAGTTCTGTTGGTAATCTGAGCCATCTCTGGGGAAAAACAACACTGCTCTTCCCTTTATAGGAAGGTATTGTTTCGAAACCTATAGAGACACGCTTGCTTGTGCTGCAATGGCATTTATTGCACATCGACTAATTACTTACACAGTAGTAAATTGCACCAGAGTATAAATAGGTTATAAAACACACACAGAGGAGAATGGAAACGACACACAAGTGCTAAAATAACAGCAGATTCACGCGGGCACTTGGAAATAAAAATAATAGAAGTCCCTTCAGATATTTTAATTTATAATACGGATGTATTTACAGTACCTTCATAAAATAATATAAAAAGTCACTCTCTCAATAAACCCATAACAGATCAGACAAAAACAGAGATCACTTTCAGGCTTGGTGTTGTTTAAACCTCCATTTCATTTTTAATTTGTGTGTGTGTGGACATGTGCAAGTAGCATCTTCAAATAACTTTACAATCCTTAATACTGTGCAAAAAACAGCTTTGTCGCCGTTTCCCAAAAATGTGCAGTAAAATCTTGTTGTTGCCAGGATGTTTTTTTCCCTCTCCATCTGTAATTACAACGAACAAGCTGCAGAAGGCTCATTAACTCCCCCCTCTCCCTTTCCCCTAAAATACTCCTAACTGTAGGCAAATATGCTGTTTAATATAAACACGGCCCATTTATTCCCCTGTACAATATGCACAGTTTGAGGTAGAAGTTTCCCAGCCTGACCGCTATTGTCTGGCCAAAGAGATAAGCACAACAACTCACTGGTTGTTGATGCAGAGGGGAAGAAAAAAACAAAACAAAACAAAACAAAAAGCAGAAGAGTTTGGGTTGTTCGGGGTTTGGTTTTTTTCCCTTTAAAAACAGATCTGTGTTCCTCATTCTTAACTTTGTCATCACTTCTGCTCGGCAGAAGAGGGGAGCACAGCGACCACGGGTTTCGGACAGCTCTCGCATTTCGGCAGCTGAAGTGCAGAGCACCTGCAGCTCCAACCTCAGTTGGAGGTCAGCTGCTTTGCCGTGTGCGTGCAGGACCACTGCCAGAGCCCTCGGGGTCACGACTCGGGCTGCTGCTGCCCTCGGGGTGCAGCCCCAGCCACTGCCCAGCCTCATGGAATCATAGCATCACAGGACTGCTCCTGCTGCTCCAGCAGCTACTGGCAGCGTCCAGGGAAAACTCACCCATGCGATGGGACACAGCTAAGCCTCCTTCCGACCCAAATATAACCTGGTTAGCTTTGGGACAGGCTGTTTATTTGCTCCGTTCTCCGCTCAGTGGGCTTCCTGTTTGCTTTAGGTTCAGATGAGGTATGTCGAATACAATTCACCTGCTTTTATTCATCAGTAAACACGGGCTCTCTCCCCGCTCGTCCCTTGCCTGTGTCCCCCAGCCGTGTCTGGCCCCACAAACCCACCCCCCTATACCTTGGACTCCGAGCGGGATGTTTTGCTATGTCTCTCCTCCAGGCTGGACTCACTGCCGCCCCGCGTGCCCCCGTTGCAGTCGGACCACGTCCCCCCTGGGCTGTGCTCAGGGGAGCCCAGGGTACTGATGAAGCCCCCGGGCAGCGGGGCGGGTTGGCCGCCGGCGTGCAGCCGCCTGTCGGCTTTGCGGGGAAAGCAGAGCAGCCTCTTGAAGGCCTTACGGAAGTCCGGGCTGCGGCAGTAGATGATGGGGTTGAAAGCGGAGTTGGCGTAGCCCAACCAGTTGAAGAATACAAAGAGCCAGTCCGGCACCAGGTCTCTGTTGAAGACGTTGACAATGTTCACCAAGAAGAAAGGGAGCCAGCAGAGGGTGAACACCCCCATGATGATACCCAGTGTCTTCAGAGCTTTGTGTTCCCTCATGGCCATGACACGGGACGTCTTCCTCTTGCTGGCGCGGCCGTTGCCAAGGATGGGCTGGTGGTGGGGGAGCGGGGGTGGCTGCGGCTGCTCCTGGCTGTCATAGAACCGGCCCTCGCAGCGGTCGATCTTCCTGATCTGCTCCTTGGCCTCCCGGTACACCCGCAGGTACACGAAGATCATGATGAGGAGGGGGATGTAGAAGGAGATGATGGACGAGGCGATGGCGTAAGCCCGATTGGTGACGAAGTCGCAGCAGCCCGGGTCCTGGTAGCACTTGAGCGCCTGAGGGTCCTCGTCCCGCCACCAGTGCATCATGATGGGCAGGAAAGACACCAGGGCGGAGATGGCCCAGACGGTGCAGATGATGCCCTTGGCCCGAGCCCTGGTCATCAGGCTCTGGTAGCGGAAAGGCGAGGTGATGGCCAGGTAGCGGTCGATGGCGATGACGCACAAGGTCTCGATGCTGGCCGTCACGCAGAGCACGTCCAGCGATGTCCAGCACTCGCAGAGGAAGGAGCCCCACAGCCAGGTGCCCCGCACCACCAGCGTGGCCCCGAAAGGCACCACCAGCAGCCCCATCACCAGGTCGGCGCAGGCCAGCGAAGTGATGAAGAGGTTGGTGAGCGTCTGCAGCCGCTGCGTGCGCCCGATGGCCGCGATCACCAGCACGTTGCCGGCCACGATGAGCAGCACCACCAGGGCCATCAGCAGGCTCATGCCCGCCTCCCACTGCTGCGACAGCAGCTCGGCGGACACCTGACGGCTCCCGGTCGGCGCCGCCGTCTCCCCGCCACCTCCGGAGCGGTTGTGGGGGCCGCAGTCGGGCGGCAGCCACCCATCGCCCATGGCTGCGGGGCGCTCCGGCCGCGCCGCGCCGCGGGCATGCAGGAAGGCGGCGCCGCCGCCGCTGCCGCCGCCGCCCCGGGATCCGCATGGCCCCGCGCCGCGCCGCCGGCCCGCCCCGCCCCGCCCCGCCCCTCAGCCAATCGGCGCCGAGGGGCGCGGCTTCCCGCCCGCTGCCCGCCGCTCCCCGTGCCGGTCGGGTCGCGCGTAGCGTTTGCCCGCCGTGCGCGGGGCTCCTTTGCTCGGCGTCCCGTGGCCCGAAGCGCAGCCCTCCTCGGTGGGCAGAGCGCGGCGCTCCCCAGAACAACGGGAGACCTTGTGCTGGAGCACCGCGGCTGGGGGTATTTGCCCAGGACCGGCAGCTGTAACACCGATGTAAAAAAATGCATCTGAAAGCAGTTTAGGACAGTGGAGATTTAGGACGGAACACTTTTTTTTCCCTCTCCGTCTAGCTGGAATTTCTAAAGCAACGATGAGCTCTGCAGTGTTTCTGCACCCCAGCGCTGAGAAGCTTGGGTGGATTTCGTGAATGTGAATACTCTGTTTTAGCACAAAATCAGACAGATTGTAAACTGTTAAGGTCTTGCACTCTATTCCCAAGCTCGCACAGGCAGTGGGAAGCAGTGTGAGAGAACCATGCAGCTGTTCGGAGTGCTAATCCTGGAGCATCATCCGTCATCTGCTCAGATCCCTTATTGCTGCAGTGTCCTTATATAGTTAAACACCACAACCCAACAAGTGCCTGCTCTCTGCTATCACACTGTCTTATAAGATAGCCACCTGGAGATCCCATCCCATCCTACAGGCAGATAAGCTTCAGGGCTGGAGGAGTAAAGCGAATTGCCAGTGAGGATGCCACGAAGCAGAAGCAGCCTAATGTAGCCTTGCTTCCCAGCATCTCTGTTGGTTCAACGAGTGTCAATGTGGAACGCCAGATTGGAGCAGGAGCCAGAATGTCTTTGGGAAACAATGCAACTCCAAAGGGAAAAATAAGCAAATTTATGATTTCTGTACAGAACATCCCTCTGGCCCTTACTGCCAGTCTGCAGCCAAATACTGACTGTAGACTTAACCCCTTATCAGAGCATTACTTTTGCAGATCTCCCTGAAGTCAAATTTTCCTTGCTTTTTTGAATTTCACACTGCTCCTTAGCATGATTTTAACACAGACCTTTGTTTGCGTGTTACTTAAAGATGTCAGCGCAGGAGAGGGACTTCAAAAAACTGAAATGAATTGTTTCTACTTGCTCTCCAGATCATGGTTTTTAATGAACACCTAATTTATTTTTCCCTTGGAAGTTGTTTTAAAAAAAAGCACTCAAAGCATTGGTAGTAATTAGGACAGCTCAGTTTGATGTTGCAAAGAGTGTGGCCTGTGTGGCTGGTGGGTGAGGGAAGAGCTGTTTGAGGGCTGGGGAGAGCTAGAGGATGATGGGGTTGGCAAAGGAGCAGGGTGAAGAGACCATTTCAGCTTGTTGAAGACACAATCTCTTAATGTAGCTGGAGGAAGAGAAAATTGTTAGGGAAGGAGAGGAACGGATGAATAGAAAGAGGTTTAATGAGTGGTAATATGATGAAAGGGCAAAAATGATAAAAATGACTGAAAGGATGTCAGCTCCATTAGGTTGCCTGGAGTTTTACCACTCTTACCACTTAGGCCCTTATGGTTAGATTTGATAAAGCTCAAAATCTCAGTTTTGGATCAGACAGCACCTTCCTTGTCCTACCTTGGTCTGGTCACACCCTCGCTGCAATTGAATTATAGCACCATCATTAATAACATGATATCAGCTGTTTGTTCTTTTAAGGCGTTAAGCAAAGCCCACAGAAATGCCTGGAAGGACTCCCATCGATCTCAGTGAGTTGCACGTTACTGTCCTTCCTCCCTCTCTGGTGAACCATGTAAAGGCAAAGGAAGAATGCATTTGCTGTCCCGTTTTTCTCCTCTCTATCCTCCTAAATCCCTCTGTAAACTTAACATACATCAGAGCAACTGTTTTGTATTGGTTATCCAGACAGTTCCCCTAAAACCTGAGCTGAAGACAGGCAATAGAGACACAGCCGCACAAGCCGTCACATGAAGCAATCAGGCTTCGCCCGCGCTGCTTCGTCCCAGGAAGAAGCTGTCATTTGGCTGCATTCACATTGGACATTTGTTATTGGAGGAACAGAGACACGATGGAACATTGCCATGAGATCCATGTCTCTTGTTTTTAAAATAAACATCTTGGCTTTGACTTGACGTTTATTTTCCATAAATGCCTCAGCTTTAATTTGGCATTTCTGTGGCAGCAGGAGACTGTTTTCCTGTGACAACATGCAATTCCATTGACATTATCTCTTGATTACATGTGACAGTGCTCTAAGCACAGTATAGAACTGCTCGTAGTTGAACGACATAAAAATGTAATCCAAGTGGATTTAATACCAGTATAGGATGTACTTTCCAGCTGTATTCCATTGCTGTGACACCATGGGGACATGAGGTACATGTGTGGTAGGGAGAATTGGGTTAGTGAGAGCACACTGGGATGCCTTGGGGGATCCTGTTGATCCTTGGTGGGCCCATGTTGGTCAGTGTGTACAGCACTGAGCTTACCAGTGTTTTGAAGAGATCTGAACTAGTCTGAACACATGCAGATATGGTGAGAACCCACTGCAGTAATCCAGCCTTGCCGAGCACTTACAAGAATGCTGAGTCATTAATTATCTCCAGGTGATTAAAGATGGTCTGCGATTCTCTGTCTTTCTCCCATACATACTCTGAACAAAAAGTTGCAGAGGAACAGCCAAAATGATGGCCTTATCTCCTGAAATCTCTGCTCACTGATCAGACTGCCTGAAAAGGCTGTTTGCCTGCTGAGGTCAGCTCTGCTCAGTCCTCACAGAATGGACCCAGGACCCTTTTTCCCAGTGCTCCCCGTAGATGCAAATTGTGAATACTATTTTTTTTGGTAGGATTGAGGACAGGTTTCTATTTTTCTCATATTTAATAAGAGTTGTGACCTTTTTTGTAATCCTATCCACAACTTAAAAGAAATGTAGAGTTCTGGACTAATGTCTCATTAGGTGCATGAAGGCAGGGGCTGTTACTACTTTGGAGTTATACCTCTTTCATAGGGTAGACTTAGATTTGTAAAAGCAAAAGAAGTTTGGACTGGAGTAAAACTTGAGGCTCATGCTGGGCTGTATGCTTTTGTCATAAATAAGCCTAATTGAACGGGAGTCATACCAATTTAGGATGCTGAAGAGCAGGCTCCTTGCCTTTCTGGCTGATAGTTTCTGCCTTTCCCTCCTCCAGCCCCCCTCTGCACACCTCAGAGGAGGTCCTTAGCTCAGCCTGTTAGTATCTCACTCTGGAGAAGTTCTTTTTTCACCTATCGCAGTGACACTTTGGCATTTCCATGATTCCTGCTGTTGTTGACTGGGCCCTTCATTGGTGTACCAGTTCTGGTACAAGAACAAGCCAGAATTGGTGTTTATGGAAGGAATTTTAGTTTTGCTACTGATAAAATTTTCATAAAGTTAATCCTTCTCTTATTTACAGCCTAGACTGGCATTAATTGGGAGCAATTGTAGTCCTTAATCCAGAGTATAACTAAGAGTTGTCTTTAATTGCTTCATTTTCCAAGTCTCTCTCTGTATTTATGCATATTCTTCTGATACACAGACTCCAACACTTAGACAGTGGCACTGTGAGAACAGCCTGGCTAAAGGTGCGTCCTTTTTAAGCATCAGCACTTCCTTTGGGAGTGATAGTGAAACATTTTACAGCAGTTCAGAAAACTGGTGATGGCCAGAGACTTTGTTCATAGGTGGAGAATGTGGTTGAGAGATCAGAGCAGAGGAGCGATGTCTGGGAGTCCTCTGAGATTTCCATCCAGTCTATTCCTGCTTCAACACATGCTGGCTATATATATTCAGGTTGGATATTAGGAAAATTTTCTTCTCAGAAAGAGTGGTGAGGCATTGGCACAGGCTGCCCAGGGAGGTGGGGGAGTCACTGTCCCTGGAGATGTTCCAGAACTGTGGAGATGTGGCACTGAGACACATGGCTAATGGACATGGTGGGGATGGACTGGGGTTGAACTAGATGATCTTTGAGGTCTTTTCCAACGTTCTATGGTTCTGTAAGGAGATAATTTACTTCCACATATCAAAGCTTACCTACTTGTGGAATGAAAGATAGATGCTTTAGGAAATATCATCTCACATTGTTATTGGAACATGAAGCGAATCCTTATAAGCACCTGTTGAGGTGTGGATGTGAGGTGGAATGGAAAGGCATGACCATGATTTCAGTGCACAGTGTTCAATGTTGGAGAAACGTGTGCACCAAGAAAACTATTCCTTCCTTTTCTAGTCATGGAGGACTCCAGCATGCAAACTAGTGGCTGGGACATGCAAAAAGATGGTGTGATGTGGAACCGAAGTTTTCAGATGTTTGGAAAATCTGTATGTGTTCCAGATAGCACAAGACTGAACTTAGCAGCACGGCTCAGAGTGACTTTGAAGTTGGAAAGCCCCATGTTGCTGATGAATGTCTCTAGATATAGGACCAACGCTTCAGATCCTGTAGGGAAATGGATTAGGGCTCCCACTGGGAGAAAATATACTCTGGAATATTTTTTTTAAGCAAAAAAAGTCAATTGCAGTTCATGCTAACTTAAGGCAGTGTCCTGGGAAAGAGCTCTGAATAGCTGAGACTATGTTATAACATTTGAAAAACGGTTATTCCCTTTTAGTGACATTAAGAGTGCATTTTGAAGCTTCTGGGGGATGCTGAGTTGCAGATTTTATTTTTCAAACAGTAATTGCTCCCTGTTAGCATCCATTTGTAGTTCTGTGCATCCTCTCAGCAAGCCCTCAAGAACATATCGACTTGCCCTGTCACATGCTCAAGTGGATGCTATCTTTACTTCTCTTTGCACAGATCAACGCTGTTTTAAAGCAATGAGGGATGTACCCCTCCAAAAAGCATGGGGACTCCAACTGCTTTTATTTGGTGCAGGTAATCACAGGATTAGCTGAAAGAGAAAGAAACAGTAG